GTTGCACTTTCTGCTTGGCTAGGCTGGCATAAAGGTGTATCACTTGCCAATAGTTGTTCATCAATACAATGTTGTAATATTTCATTCACCAAAGTCCACTTTTTATCTGCGACATTTAATTCTAGGCCAAATTCCTGGCCTAACAATACTAAATTAGACTTTTTAAGTTTCTTTATCTCTACCACTGAAGGCTCCCTTGCCAGGTTCTGCATTTCAGAAGACATCACTAATAATTTTAGCTCCCAGCCAAAGAAAAAATTAAAAAATAAAAATTGGAAAAAAAACAAAAATTTGCACGGCCCCTAACACAAGGCCACACTAACCTTAATCGTGAAGGGATCCAGCTGGGTGTCCAGTCAGTGCAAGAATGTCCTTTGCTAGATGAGCTGGACCCTAGGCTAGCACACAACCGTTCTGCGGAAATAAAAAATTTTAATTTTGGCACTCAAGAATCTAATTTTTTACACTTATAATGTTCCTCCCGGACTGGCCAACCACTTGTTACAAATGATATGAGTGGGGCTTCTATGGGGTACTGGTACTATTAAGGGGTATAGGTAGTTAGAAGACAGGAGTATCAAATATGGGAGAGCTAAAAGGCCCGGCCCCCAAAATAAACTATCCACAGTAGTAATAACTTGCTACAAGACCAAATATGTTAGTCTAAGGGTTGATCACTGCGCTCCCACCTTGGAAGAAGAGATACTCTGTAATTCATGTACTTATTTATTAACCCCTTAACAAACCCCCATACACTCACACCAATAACAATAATAATAATAACTTTACCACACTATCTTACGTTAAAAGCCTTGGTCCACATAGGCAGGATACAAGGTTTACACTAATAACAAGCTAGGGTAAAGTACTACTGGATAAGCACTGAAGCTGGATGCAGCTTAGGGTAGTGAAACCACGTGGGACCCTAATACAAAACACAACACTTAGGGGTACCCAAACACTGGCAAAATACTATCCCCAGGTCTCACCAATCGTTACTACCAGAGTAGGCACACTCACTAATGCCCTGTACTTAGCTTAAGGATACAGGAACTTCAGGTAAGGGAAATAAGTAAGAGGAGAAGGAAGGAGAGTAGGGATACAGCCACAGAGTAGGTCTTAACCTCACGCCACCAGCCAAGAGAAGAGCGAGCTCCTCGCGACCACCTGGCCTCCCTCATGTCGTGGTGCCGGAAGGAGCCTAATTGATCGTGCAGCTAAGCACATTAAAGATCTTCCCCTATGCAACGTATTGTTACTTTATGAGTGATTAGAAAGTATTAGTAAGCAAAGTTGGTGCCTATGTTATTATTTAATAATCAACCCCCAGCTCAGTCTTTAAATGCTCTTTGAGAAACAATAATAGTCTTACGTCTGGCAGGGAAGATACAAACAATTTCCATTCGAAATGCGCCAACTGTACTACTTAGGAAGTTTAATAGCTCAATTTTGACCTCTGGTTTCCACTGGAGAACCCAGGGTCGTAACACACTGATTCAGCCATTTATTTTCGGGTAGACATGCATCAACCTCTTGAGAAATAGTTTGCAATTACTTTCCTTCTTACCTCCCAAAGTACTTTCTATCTCTTTTCTTCTTTTATGAAATAGGCCTCTATCTAGGGCAAGTTGCCCAATCTGAGTGCAGGGGTGGATTTTTTTTTACCAAGTCAGTTTTCATCCTTATTTTAATTTATCCATGTTCCCTTTAAGATGATAACAGCATTCTTTATCACAAACCCTTGCACTCCACTTGGCCTGGCATGGCATCCTTAAACACCGTGACATCCTGCAATTGGGTAACTGTTTATGGTAATGACCATCTTTGCCTCCATCTGGGACTTGTTTGAGGTCTCATAGATCTTGGTTTCTCTAAATCCTATGAATTATTACCCTTCAATATTTTAGAATGTATCTTTTGGCATCATCATAAGTTTCCTGTACATTCTTGCCTTTATTAATGAGGTTGAGGTTACAACTATATTTCTACAAGCCTATTGCTCATTTTAACCTATCAGGTTACATTTTATTAAGGTGCATATTGTTGGGTGAATGTCACTTAGACTTCAGCTATGTTGGATCTGCAAAACCTTGTAAGTGCTACTCTCATGCACCACATGACCTGTCACTAATGCACTCGTACCTTCCAGGAAGTAAATATTCATCCCAGCCTCAAGCATTAACTTATTTGTAAAATGTTCTCTCGAGTGGACTCGGATAGCATCTGACATAATAGTTGTAAAGCATCAAATTCCCTATTTTATCACTGCATGAGCTTGGATGCCTGTCTCTTGATTCCTAGGCATAGGATAGATATGCATCTTGACCTAAAGATAATCTCTAATAATTCTTCATATTATATGTTGAGAAATCTAGAAACAAGATACACAAGTACAGGGGTACTTGTGGTGTATGTATTTATAAATTAAAATTTGTATTCTAATTAGCCCCCATGCATAAATACCCTGAAAATAACCTATACACAATTGGTTAATTGTTTAAAATCAAAATGCTGTTATATACAGTAACTGCTTAAGAGCGTGCTGCACTATATCTCTAGACAACGATATTGCTCCCATGATTGTAATTATCTTTCACACACCACCCACATTCTCTAATGGGTCATGTATTTAGAAGCTATTGTAAGCATCACTACTTAAATGCTGTTTTCTGTAATTGGTAGACTCAGAATATTTAGTCTAAAGTTTTTACAATTTCTGTGTCATGACATACGTGACTCCCTCACGTATGCTCCTCTTGACTTTTGGATCGCCTTAAAACTTCTTTCAACTGCAAACAAAGAGAGCTCTCAAGTCTTTGTCCTCTTGACTTCGGTCTTGTAAACCTGGTGTTCCTCTTCGTCCTGTCATTTCTTCTAGAGTCTCAGTCGGCTATCTTCTTGCCTTCTGGGTTGCCAAAACTCTTGACTTCTTATCTTGGCACTTTTTTCTTCTGCCCACCTCCATCACTTTCAGGACTTCATAGAAAGACTGCACCTGCAGCCCTCCTGTAACATTCTTAGTTTTGATGTCGACTTTGCTTACTAATGTTTCCCTTGATAACGTTCTCTTTCTGTAGTTGGAAGGCAACTGAAGGCCTTCTTCATCTTACTCGTCCCTCTATCTGGCTTCGCTACGTTGATGACATTTTTGCCTTATGGGCTTGTGACCTTAGTCTTTTCCAGCCTTTCCTCTTTTTTCTTAGCAATCTGGCTTCTATCAGTTTCAAAGCTGAATGGGAATCTAATTCCCTCTTCCTTTTCTTGATGTTTATGTTCACAGCTCTGTGTCCTGTTTCTCTTTCTCTGTCTACCGCAAACATATGCATAGTGGTATGTACATTCACTTCTTTTCCAACCATCCTCCTCCTGTTAAGAAAAGTGTTCTTGTCTCTCTCTTCCTCCACACTCTACACATCAGTGACCCTCAGTTTCTTGATTATGAAATTTCCTTAATTTACAAATCTTTCTTTTACTTTGGTTACCCCTTATATTTTATCAACTGTGCCTGTTCTCAAACTAAACTAAATTTCTTTCATCCTAAACCTAAAGCTGTTTCCAACACTGGTACTACTGTGCTTTGCCTTCCCTTCATATCTGAACTAAAAATTCTCACCAATCCCCTTCGTCCGCTTGACATAAAGCTCCCCTTTGAAAAACTAACACTCTTCTTAGTAATCTGGTTCACACTGCTCCTCCTGCTTCTAATGCTGCTGGTGTCTACTCTTTTTTTCCTATTCTTTCTATCCTCTCCAGTACTTTGGTGAAACTGGCTGTACACTAAATGACAGACTTAATGTTTGACAACACACAAAAGAAGTGTTAAGGCTGCAGATACAAACAATGCTCTCTTCTGTTATGTTAGGAACTCTAATCATCCTATTGAAAGGTCCTCTTCTAAAATAGTCTCTCGTGCTTCTAATCTTCACAGACGCTGTTTTGTCAAATTGAATCTGATACACAACATAGCCAACATGAACCTTAGTCCTGGCTTTGTTGCTGTTGACTCTTCCCTTCATAGTACACATGCAAATGATTTAACCTTCAAAGGTGATCTGACATAAGCCTATCCCCGCCTTTCTTTTCTTATCCTCTTATTCTTACCTATCCCATTCTTTTTTCATCCCATTATTTCACTCATCCCATTCTTACCTTTTAATGTACTCTTACCTTCTAGGAATTCCTGTACCATCATTTCTTACCTGCTCTCCACCTTACACTTTACCTTTACATAATTCCTTCTTCTCTTACTTGCTCCTCACCTCACTCTTGCCTTATTTAATGCCTGTGCCTCCCTCACTCCCACACGGGAGACATCTCCCGTCACGCAGGGTGCAGTCGCACCTCCACAGATCTCCAGTATCATCTATTGATACTGGAAATGGCTCAAAAGGGCTACCACTTATGGGCTATTCATGCCCGTGCCACCTTTTGGGTGGCTTAATCTTCTCTCTCTCTCTCTCTCTCACTCCCATCACAATCAACTTGATAATGGTCCAGAACTGATTGAAACGTCGTCATCTCTTCATCTTCTGGTGTGTGGTTTGGTCATCATATCTTTAACCACATTATTGTGACCTCGTCTGCATGTGTTACATTTGTATTTGTTTAGTGTACATGTTTTGTCCATGTTTGTTATATTTGGTCTGTTGATGTAAGTATCAGAAGTAAACAACAATGAAAATTTTAAACAAGTGGTTCACCACTCATTTTTTCTGGTATAGAAGATAAACACATGTACATAATATTTATTATACTAATCCTTCTGTCTTTTTTTAACCAAAAAAGCTAGACCTATATGAAATAAATTTCATGTAATTTAATTTACTAAAATGTTGCTTAATATTAACAAAATACTATTTGTTTAACTAAAGATAAGTTTCAGTCATCAGTTAATCAGTCACATACTTAGAAGCAAGTTATATAATTGTTTTGATGTCCCAGGAATTGCAAAGTTTCTTACCAACGGAAGGGGTTTACTAACACTAGTCCCTGTGTTTCAGTGTTCCATCCCTCAAAGAAAGATTACAACAGTGAGTATATTGGTGCAGATACTTTATACACACAAATTTTCCCTTAGCATGTTCGGGATGTAGTGTAGAGTGACAGATATCTGTGTCGCTTTTAGGATTGATTTCAGGTTTTTCAGTGTCTTGAAGTGAACAGATACTAAATTATTCTCATGCCCTGCAGAGATAAGCCTGTTCCCGGTAAAACTAAAATAGAGCCCACAGGCCTCTCTTCAATACTTGGTTTCTCCTGCACTGCATGATAAGGTTTCTTTGAAGCACTCTGATGATCAGTATTTTCCTTCAGTTTAAAGAATGCACCTATGGCTCTATGTAAATATCTACTTGCATGTACTTTTCTCAAGCTGACCTTTCTTTTTTACAGGGCATCCACTGAGCATTATCATAGTAGAGAAATGTGATGGTAGCACTTCTAGGGTTGAACACACGGTATGAAAGTTTTTGCATTAGTTTAAGGAATGGCGCTTGTTGTGACGGCTGCATTTGGTAATATTTAGTCCTTGTTTTATTTTATATATACTGGTATTGTAGAATGCATTATGGGTTTTAAATCTAAAAGTCTGGTTTAAAATTTTGTAAAGTTTTAGCTTAATAAGGTAGTAATTGTTTTTGTTTCAATTAGTAGGCAGTGCTTTAAATGTGAATATTGTGTTGTAAAGCTTACTTTTTAAGCAGATTTGGCTATATAGTATTCCTTTTAAAAATAATTCCAAATATGACAAAGGAAATATATTTGCAAAATCATCATTTGCTCTTAGCATGGCCTTAATAAATAACGCAAATTCAGTTAGTGCACTCATAGAAAGCAACTCGTGCGAACTAATATTACAAGGAATTTAGTGTTGCACTATCATCTTTGTAGTTAAATGACACATTTAATTTGCACATACAGTACTGTACTTACAAGTACTGTAAAGTACAGTGGTACCTCGAGTAACGAATTTAATCCGTTCTGGCGCCGTCGTTGTCATGTGAAATGGACGTCATACAAAACATTAATGTCCCCATTGACATTAATGGTAATCAAATTAATCCGTTCTACCACTGAAAAACATCAATATGATATTCGATGTTTTAAATAATGGAGCAGCCTACCTTATATACACTGCACAAACCTTAATGACATTTTTCTTTCTTCAAATTTGTTCAATATTTATTTTTCATTTGTCTTATATCAAAAACTTCGTTCGGTGGTCGGCAGATAGGCTGCTCCATGTTTCTTACATAAAAAAACGAAAACAAAAATGAAGAATTTTGTAAACCAGAACAAATGTCAAAAAGGTTTGTTCGATTGTCTACAGGTAGGCTGCTCCATGTTTCTTAAATAAAACAAATAGTTGAAACAATTTGGAAAATGGACAAATGCCATAAAGGTTCGTTCAGTGTTTGACGGGTAGGCTGCTCCATTATAACAATCTTTCTTAGTTTCGTTCCATATGTTTTGTATTTTTCATTTACGTCTATAATGGAGCAGCCTACCCGACAATCACTGAACGAACCTTTATGGCATTTGTCCATTTTTCAAATGGACAAATGTTTGTTTCAACTTTTTGTTTCAACTGTTTGTTTTATTTAAGAAACATGGAGCAGCCTACCTGTAGACAATGGAACGAACCTTTTTGACATTTGTTCTGGTTTTTAAAATTCTACATTTTTTTTGTTTTAGTTTTTTATGTAAGAAACATGGAGCAGCTTACCTGCCGACCACCGAACAAACCTTTTGCTATAAAACAAATAAAAAATAAACATTGAACAAATTTGAAGAAAGAAAAATCTCATAAGTCATAATGAGATACCAAATAATATACACGTGGAAAATACTGGAGGGACAGGTCCCAAATCTGCACAGTAAAATAACAACGTACTGGAGTGAACGATATGGAAGAAAATGCAGAATAGAACAGGTGAAGAGTATGTTCAGAGCAGAGAACACTGTATAAACATTAGAGGTCCGCGGTTGTTCAGCGTCCTACCTGCGAACATCAGAAATATTGCTGGAACAACCGTGGACATCTTCAAGAGGAAAACTAGATTGTTTTCTTCAAGGAGTGCTGGACCAACCAGGCTGTGCTGGGTATGTGGGCATGCGGGCCGCTCCAAGCAGCAGCCTGGTGGACCAAACTCTCAAGTCAAGCCTGGCCTCAAGCCGGGCTTGGGGAGTAGAAAAACTTGCAGAACTCCATCAAGCAGGTATAAAGGTTTGTGCAGTGTATGTACGGTAGGCTGCTCCATTATTGAGACATAAATGACAAATACAAAACAAATGGAACACATTTGAAACAAAGAAAGATTGTTATAACGGAGCAGCCTACCTGCCGAACACCGAACGAACGTTTTTGACATTTGTTGTATTTCAGAAATTTCATTTCTTTTTTTCTACAAAAATGGCAATGCTTTGCAACATCTCGGCAGTCACCCCTTTATATCCCAGCATCATTAGCATCTTTAAACAAGAACAACATAATTTATTTGCATCGTCGGAGGCGTCCAAGAATGTGCAAGAAGCAACGCGACCCCACCATGTGGTGTTGACGTTACTCAAACGAGCGTTTGCCATACGGGACGATTTGTCGCCGATTGGGCCGGTCGTTACCTAAAATGTTAGCCTTTTGGGGCGATCGTTATGCGAGGTACCACTGTACATCTGTTTGACAATATTTTCCATGTAAATGCATGTTATTGTGACCAATGATTTTAAAAATACATGAAGTTAACTAAGTTCAAAGGGATTACCCAAAAAATTACACAAAATATAAACTCTAATTTGAAAAGTATAAGCTCACAGACAGAAAGAGATACATACACTCAAGCCAGAATGACCTTCATGCTGGGTATGGAGAAATTGCACTCATGAGTTTAGCAACCCACTACAAATTATTTGCCAAGCATCTTTACAAACAGGAAACCTCTCAGACATACTGAAAAAGGCAAATGGTCCCAATTAAAAAAACAGTGACAGGGAAGACCCATTAAACTACAATTAATATCATTGACATATGTGGTTGCTAACTCACTAGAGATGGTAATTAATTTTAAATGGGTGAAATATCTTGACAGAAATGACATAATAGCAGACTGGTAGTGTAATTTTTGAACAGAAAGGTCATTTGTAACAAATTGACTAACTTTAAATGAAAGGCCATGATATCTTACAGAAAAAAAAAAAAGAGACATTTTGTTTGACTTCATCATTTGGACTTAAAAATAACATTTGATTAAGCCCCAAACTAGTAAGTAAGGGTGACAAACTATTAACCTGGAAGAAAGATTTCCTAAATGATAGTAAGGTGATTATTGAGGATTACTGGATTACTGAGAGCTGTTATAAGAGGGGGTGAATTCGAGGGAAGAAATGCCGCTAGTGGACAACACACTATGCAGCTGTTGTTTAAAACTTTATTTCAAAGAACGTGTGGAGAAACGGAGAAACTCCAAAAGATTCAGAGACCTGCTATTAAATGGATTCTGAATCTTAAAAATGTAATTTTTGTGGAAAGGTATGAAACTCCAACATGCCAAAATTGAAATTACAAGGAAACAAAGGGGTTACAGGCAAACTGTAAAAAAGCCAGATTATATAATTTCAGACCCAATCTGGATTTGCTGAAAATTCAAATTTCCCCAAATTTGGCCAAAGTTGGCTATTTACCTTTATTTTTTAATTTTCCCTATAGCAAGTGATACATATTTAGACACAAATAATATATAAACGCTGATTTTGGTGAAATATAAGTAGTATTTGTAATGTAATATACAGAATGTAGTTTATTACTAACCGTTTTTGGAGCTGCGGCTGGTCTTCCTAACGCAGTGGTATCAGAGTGTGCTTATAGTACAGTATAGCATATATAGTTCAGTACAAAGATTGGGCTTTTGGGTGAGAGGAACTGGGTGGGAAGGAGGGTATTCAGGGGTATCGAGATGGAAGGACCAGCAGGCAGGATTGCCGGATATCAGTTGGGTGGGAGTTGGGGAAAGATGAGGGGTTGAGCAGGCAGCATAAGGTTGGGAGGGAGGAATCTGGAGGGTAGGGGAGAATCATGGGGACAGGAGGTATTGAGTGGGCATCCATGAGACATTTATGAAGGGCTTGGGTGGGCAGGAGGGAGAAATTGGGCAGGCAGATGGGAGGAAGGTATCAGATGGACAGGCATGAGGGGTTTAGTGGCCTTGAGGTGGGCAGGCTTGAGGAACTGGGCAGGTTGGATTCATTGGACAGGCAAGCTGGAAGATGGGTGGGCAGGTACAAGACTGATTAACTAACAATGAAACAACCTACAGATAACCTTCCCTATATACCCCTCTCCCTTACTCTATCCATTTCCTCCCATCCACCCCCTCCCTTACTTTCCTTTCTTCCTGGAAAGAATCAATTCTTTATGGATTGGTCTCTAACTGCAATGACAGACATACCTGATGCTCCACCATCAACAAAACCCAATTATAGTTTTGTTAATTATTTTATTTGCAAGGGTAAACTACAGGCTGGCTAGACTTAATGACACTGTACTGAGAACTACCTGAGAAACATGAGCCTTGGAACAAGGAACCAAGGACACCAAATTCACCCATAAAGTGTCTTCCGAGGCAGAATCGGTGGCACATAAGTAATGGCAGAGAGCTCTGAAGGGGGACAACACATGATGCACCCTCAGCCTAACTAATCAAGCATCAATAACGAGACTACCCCTCCAGAAGCCAGCCGACTTGTTCTTCACCAGAAGAGAAGGAGCCATCGAACGCAAGGTACAGCAGCTCTGCCAACATGGCATGACATGAGGCAACAGCATTTGGCATGAAATTCTGATAAAGTAGGAGAGCACTACCCACTCAGAAACCAAAGGATAACGATGAAGAGAAAGGAAGTGGCAAAAAGACCACCAGGAAACTTCATACTGCTGCTTAGAAGAAGAATGTAGGTGGTCACTATCGAAGAAACCACCTGCTTGCAGTAACTATATCAATAGAGATGATGAATCACAATAATATGGCTGATGGTGACCAAACCACACTCCAGAAGATGGAGAGATGATGACGATTCGGTTTGCCATCTTCCCACCATTGTTTCTCTCTCTCTGGCTTCGTTATGTTGATGAAATTTTTTTGCTTTATGGCCTCATGACCTTAGTCTTTTTTCAGCCCTTCCTCTCCTCTCCTCTCTTAACAATCAGTCTCCTTTTATCAATTTCAAAGTTGAATGGAAATCTAATTCCCTCTTTCTTTTCCTTCATGTTCATGTTCAAAGCTCTGTGTCCTGTTTCTCTTTCCTTGTCTACTGCAAACCCATGCATAGAGGTACGTACATTCACTTCTTTTCCTACCATCCTCCCGTTAAGAAAAGTGTTACGGTCTCTCTCTTCCTCCATGCTCTACGCATCAGTGACCCTCAATTTCTTGATTCTGAACTTTCCTTTAGTTGCAAATCTTTCTCTCGCCTTGGCTACCCTTTACATTTTATTAACTATGCCTATTCCCAAGCTAAACAAAATTTCTTTCATTCCAAACCCATTTCCAATACTAGTACAGTACCACTATGCTCTGCTTTCCCTTTATATCTGAACTCAAAAATTTCCTAACACCCTTCATTCACTTGACATAAAGTTTGCCTTCGATAAACTACCACTCTTCATAGAAATCTACTTCACACTGCTCCACCTGCTTTTAATGCTGCTGGTGTCTACTCTATTTCTTGTTTTTCCTGTCCTCACCAATACTTTGGCAAAAACTGGCTGTACACTAAATGACAGACTTGATGAACACAAAAGAAGTGTTAAGTCTGCAGACACAAACAAAGCTCTCTTCTGACATGTTAGGGACTAATCATCCTATTGATTGGTCGTCTAAAATAATCTTTCCTGCTTCTACTCTTCACAGACACCATCTTGTTGAATCTGTTGTTTGATACACAACATACCCAACATGAACCTTAGTTCTGGCTTTGCTGTTGACATTTCCCTTTCACAGTACATACTCAAATGCTCTAACCCTGCTAACAACCTTGACCTAACATAAGCCTACCTCCCTTTTTCTTTTTATTTATCTCCTCTTATTCTCACCTATTCCATTCTTCCTTTATCCCATTTGTATTTTTCTTTGCATTCTTACCTTTTGCCTTACTCTTACCTTCTAGGAATTACCTTATCTTATCTGCTTCTTGTGATTTGGTCATCATAGCAAAAGATTCATAAAAAAAGTCCAGAGGTGAAGAGCAGAAGAGAAGATTAGACATGTATATGAGTGGGATTGGGTGGTTAAAAATAGGAGCTGCCTCATATGGGCCAGTAGGGCTTCTGCAGTTACCTTTGTTCTTATGTTCTTAAGATCGAACCAGAGTTGTACGTCACCGGACTGATCTTCTGAAAGAGGCAGAGCCGTGAAAAACTCTCCGGTTTAAACATCGAGCCAGCAGTGCTTGAAATCAAGGCTGAGCCTGCCACCAAAAGGCCAGCGTATAAGGAACACAGAGTTTAGCTTAATTCCAGTAACTAGAAGTAGGTATTTTCACTCTCACTTGGTAATTCATTTTGTACTCCATTTTTCCATTGGATTCTTGCTGCTCTTAGCCATGCCCTCTAATAGTTCAGTATACTGTATTCCAATTTCTTTTGTTATGTAGTGTGCTATTTTGCAATGTGATGAAGTTGCCCACCGATGATCATGTTTTGAATTATTTTTCTTAATGTGTCTTCATTTCCAGATAATATTTTTTTATATTTTGACCATCTTGATTTAAACTTAAAATAAAATGTGTTGTCAAGCATTGTGGAGTGCTGCATTGTTTTGGGATGAGCTTTCATTCTTTGTGGGAAATTTCAGTACTGTACTAATATTTTTATTTCTTAATATATCTTTATCTTAATTTATATAATTTCAGATTTTAAAACCCAACACAAGACATTTCTAAATTTTACTATCTTGTTGAAGATATTTGAAAGTGATGTATCATATGTTGTTTATTATTTACTTTTGTTATTCTTCATATACTGTATATACCTGTACATAACAGAAAATTCACACATTCATATTGAATAATACAGTACAGTATAGAGAAATATTAAAATTAATGACTTTTCTGTGGGGAACCCCGTTGGCTCTCTGGAGCTATCGGATTGATATATGCTATATTAGTCTGGGGCTGCAGTCACATGGAGTTCTGCCTTCATCTAGTTTAGCCAGTTTGTGGTCTATCCTTAATGTAATCAAATTTGCAGCTTTGTTGTGTTTGCGAATATGTCTTGGGGAGATATTCAGGTTCAGGGGTTATTGACTTCTGTTCTCCTCTGTCTCTGAGTGCCCATTTTTTCTCTCTTTTTCTCTTTTCTCTGTTCACTTTTCTCTCTGGTTAGATAGAAACAGGGAGCCACCAAAGGAGTCTTCTCAGAAAACCACCATAGAGTGAAATGAAATGCCTTTCTTGTGAGTCCTTGGCTGAACGGTAGAGCGACGGTCTGACTTCATGCAGGTCGGTATTCAATCCTTGACCATCCAAATGGTTGGGCACCATTTTTTTGCCCCGTCCCATCCCAAATTCTTACACTAATCCCTTCCAAGTGTTATATAGTCGCATTGGCTTGGCATTTTCTCCTGATAGTTCCCTTCCCTTTCCTCCCTTTGCCTTTTGACTGATTGGACTTCATCGGCTGAGCTGGTAGCTGCCGATGCTGCCACGTGGTGTTATGCAGCTGCTACTAAAGGAAAAATAACCAAACTACAGTACTGGGTCTATTGGTTTTCGAGTTGTTTAGATTTACCATCCTGTTGTCAGTTTTGTCTTGCTCCATCTTTTCGGTGGCTGTATTCCATGGTTAGTGATCTAGAATCTTTTGCTCCCTGTGTCTCTATAGAGGAAGCCAGATTTTGGCCTCTGGTTCCTGGTAGACTTTTATTGACGCGAAAGTGCCTGGTGCGACTTGAATTGGATGGATCTATCCAGATGGTAGCAGCAGAGAGCCTCCGAGAATCCACCTGTGTGTGCATGTATGCACATGTGTGTGTGCGTATATGTACACGTCTGTGTGCATACATGCTTGTGCATGCATATGCTTGTTCTTTTTCATGTATGTGTGAATTTATGTATGTACCTGTGTGTACATACATGTGTACACACAAACTTTAATTAACCTTTATTATAAATATAGTGTATAGGAACTCCTCATTATGTTAGTCAAACATTTCTCATATCAGTTTTCAAATTTTGAAATTTCTTTTTTTTTTTTTTGCTTTTATTGTACATTTTATAAAAATGATTTAATATGGACTTTCTAAATTGTAAATTTTTGTTTGAACCAGACTGGACTCAGCAGCAGACTTGATGTCTCTGCACGTTGGAGATCGAATACTTGAAGTGAATGGGAGACCTGTTGAGGATCATTGTATTGGTGACATTGAAAATCTTATTACTTCCTCTCAGGATGTGTTGCAGGTTAGATATTAGTCACTTTTTATCTATTGTTTCTTTTAAGTTGTATGAGGATGTGTAGAATTGTACAAGCTTTATTACATATTGTCTAGGGTTTTATGTAGACTGTAGTCCATGTATATTCACCTAGTTGTGTTTGCGGGGGTTGAGCTTTGCTCTTTCGGCCCGCCTCTCAACTGTCAATCAACTGTTTACTAACTACTTTTTTTTTTTCTTTTTTCCACACCACACACCACACCACAAACATGTGTGTTAGTGACGGTCTGATACTAATGTAGGTGTATGCCAGGGGTGTGTAGTAGTCGTACAGTACAGTATATACATCTTTATATATGTGTATGGTCATGAATTAGGACAAGTTAAGAAAATCTGAGAAGGTTTAAACTTGGTGTACATGCCTAATAAGAAGACTTTGATGTTTGGCAGTCGGTGATAGAGATTTATGAAGGATACTTGAAACGTTTATTGCTGTGTGTGAAGGGAAGACTATGGAGTGAGTGTCTACAAAAGTTAAGTTGTGGTGGTGGAATGAAAGAGAAATTATGTGTACAAAATAAATGTGAGCAATGAAGTATTAGTAGTGGTTGATCAGTTTAAATAATATAATTGGGATTATGACTGATGAAAGGGGAAAATGTGCAATTGAAGTGTGATACCAATTTTTATTCATTACTTTTTTCTTTGCTCATAAATAATGCCATTTTATTCATTCATTTGGCAGATTTTCACTCATTTATTTGACAGATTCTTACTTCTTTCACACTATTGTATACAATTTGATTGTCTTTCCTTGCATCTAGCACAGTAGCTTATCCCTTTATGGTTGTCAAGATGATAACCCATCATCTCTCTATTACTCATATTTTCTTTCATCTCTTGATTTATATGTATCTATCCATTGTGTACTGCTCTCTTTATCTGTTTATATGTGTAGCTGTTCCAGGAAATTACAATTTTTACCATAAAAATGCTGATCTGTGTAGCAGTCGAAAGTAAATAAGTTCCTTCCCATGATTAGAGTAGTTTTTCATGAAGCAGCATTTACATTTAACTGATGCATCAGATCAGGTCTGTATGTTTAAAGGCATTTGCATCCTTTCCCAGAAAATGACTGTGCTTTCTATGTTCAGTGTTTAATTTAAAAGGGAGCTCTGGGTGTTGATGCAGTAGTTCAGGGAAATGAAGCTGAAACCCCATTACCATATGTTGTCATCTACTCTGATGCATCAGATATGATTAGTTTAAATTTCATACTTTAGTTTAGCAGAGTAATATTTCTGGAGCTAACATTTGAAGTTTAATTTGTTACATTTGCTTTTTAATTTCAGTTAACCATTGAACATGATCCTGAGCAAGTATCTACCAGACGACAGAGCTTTCCCTTTGTCTCACCTTGTCGTAATATATCTCCGGTTCATGACCCGCAGCAAAAAGAAGGTCAGTAAATCTGAGGTAGTTTCCGAGCTTAGATCCCGTGGGAGTATCTGAAGGACTGGCTCAATATGGAAGATTTTCATTATGTTCGATACCCTCGTTGTGTTTCCAATTTCCACATATGTCCTCTTATTGTTTTTTAACCTCATGTCCACTTTTTCTGTTTCCCACTATATCTTGTATGCTGTGATAATATCCTCCCTGTTCCTTCTTTCCTCTATAGTTATGAGATGGAGTTTGCTTAACCAGTCCTTGTAGCAATTTTCATTGTATATTTCACAGGGTGCAGATTCCATACTGGTGCTGGTATTTTTGATATTGACTATATAGATTGTCTTGAGAAAATATCTGGTGTTAGTGCTGGAGATACATCAACTCTCAAGCTTGTTTCTCTTTCTGGTTCTTATAGCTATAGTTGCTTCCTTCTTATGGTGTAGATTCTTTCTTGTCTCCTCTATTCTTTTATGATCTCCATTACCATACATGTAATGACACACAGAGTGCACCAGTTACTTTCACTCACCATGTATTATCTTGATGCGAGTCTCACAAAAATGATTTCTGAGTTGTATTTGTCATGTTTGTATGATGTGTGTATCTGTATCCTTCTTCTTGCCTTATCATTCAAAGAGTGGGTAGACAACTTTTCAATAATAAAGCTAGTTATCCCTCCCAAATTTTAGCCTAGACTAGTGGGGGCTTCCGAGCTTTCTCTAATGGGTAATGGCAATGTAAGAGTCCTGGGAAAGCAGGACTCCTGCACAGGGAAACGACCATGTATAGGTAGCTTGCTCAGAAAGGAGTTTTTCGTCCACGTTCACAAGCTTATTAATAAAATACACGCATTGTATCTCGGGACAAAAATAGCCGAGGATTGAAATACTGTACCTCCTCAGATGTACCTGTATTGAATTTTGTTCCCAACCTGATCCAGTTTGTTAAACTTCCTCTTGGATATTTCTATACGTTAGAAAATATTTAAACAAAATTTAAATGGCAACTCTGGGGAAGCACAGTACTGTAGTTGTATGAAGCAGTGGGGTTCTCTGTAGCTTATTTGTGCTGGCATGTAATGGTGGTCATTATATGTGATACTGCAGTATGTTGTGTGGAAGATATTCTGAATAGATCGGTGGATTTTTGTGTGTCTTTTCCCATATTGCTCTCCTGTGTTTTCTATGCTGATACCTTCTCACTCATCATAATCAATCATCTCAAGATAACCTCCATTCATGTGTGAAGTGGGATAATGATGATAATGCACTTGTTTGGATTATATTAACATGAATTCACCTCAGTTAACAAAGATATTTTTATTCAAATGCATTTATTTTGTATATTCATACATACATGTTCTTAATATATATAAATGTTCTGACCTACTACTGCATTATTCAAAACAGGTTTGAGAGAGCGTCTTTTTAAGCGAAGAGATGAAGGTTATGTATCTGGTACACAACGCAGTCGTCAGCTAAGACGAGGACGAGGGTGTAAAGAGAGAGCATCCTCACTTCCTAAGCTATTAGACAAGTATGAATTTTTTAAATGAAACTTTAAATATTTATGAATTTGGGAGGAAATTTTATTAGTTGATTTTTACTTGAATTTTTTTTATATATAAAGTGCTAACAGTATGCAGAATACTGTATAAAGTGCTAACAGTATACAGTATACTGTATAAAGTGCTAACAGTATACAGTATACTATATAAACATACAGTATACTGTATAAAGTGCTAACAGTATACAGTATACTGTATAAACATACAGTATGTATTTATCACTTCTGTAACTTGGGAACTTATTCTCTAAGACGTGTTGATTTTTCATACTTTTGGCATGCCTATAACTCGCATCAACTAAAAAAATGCAAAATGTAGGGAATTTGTTTTTATAAAGCACTCCTTTCAGAGTGCCCCCTCTATTACCCTTTGAGCCAAGACCTGGGTCCATCAGAACTCCATATTCCTGTTGGGCTCTGTCACTCTATGCTACGTAGGGAAAAATTAACTTTTCAAGTGGTCTTGCCATCTTCTTGAAGAGAAGGTAAAATTCAGTCCTCCACTAAAGAGCCGCTTGCTATGACACCATCGAGCATAAATAACAGCTAAACACTCCCTCCGAGAAATAATTTGAAACACAAGGAATACAAATTAAATCTCGGTAATTACCAAACTGGTAGTTAACAAACTTCTCTGGGCACCACTAGATGGCAACACCACCACTGTTACAGGGTCAGAAGAGTAAGCTATCTTGAGGTTATGTTGAGACGATTTTGGGGCTTAGCGTCCCCTACGGCCCGGTCCTCGACCAGGCCTCCTTTTTGTTATGCACCCCCAGGAAGCAGCCTGTAGCAGCTGTCTAACTCCCAGGTACCTATTTACTGCTAGGTGAACAGGGCATTAGGTGAAAGAAACTCTGCCCACTTGTTTCCGCCTCCACGGGGGATCGAACCCAGAACCCCAGGACTACAAAACCCAAGCGCTGTTCACTCGGTTATCAGGCCCCATACCCTAATTTGAAGACCAGCCTTCCCACATAGGCACTGAGAATCAGGATTTCAACAGCGAGAAAGGGAATGATAAAAAGGCTGCTCAGAAATGAGCTTTTCACAAATTCAGTACCCTTGTTAAAGGCTTTAAGTGAGGGAGTAATCCCTACTACACCTGTTAAAGATGATGGTGCTGCTATTTGGTGGTCTTTAGGATAACAGTTAATTAGTATAGGGTAGTTTGCAGAGTTTTAGTTGGGATTCATAAGAGTGGGTAGTGAATTTTTGTTGTTAATCTTTGGTGATATTGTGGGCAGTCCTTTGGTGGATGATTTAACTTTTTATCTCCCATGTTTTCCTTCCTCAATTGAGGTGGCAATACTTTTTGCAAAGATGCCTGCCACCATAGGGGCACAGATCAACAGATACTGACAGGACTGTGAAATCCTGGATGGCCACTGGTACTGGTAAGGGAAGTGGTCGAGTGACTGCTAAGAAAAATTGTTTTGTAAACTCTACACCCATCCATTAAGTACTTTGTACTGCTACTCTTTAGTACATTTTCATGCCTACTTCAGCAGCATCCTACGAGGGTATATACAAAACATATACTGTACTGCTATCCTCCTCGCAAGTTCATATTTAATCATAACAGTATTGGATTAGAGATAATAGCTGGGCTTATGCTTGAATGTATTTGTTTGAATTGGAGTATGTAGGTCAGTTTGTGAGGAGCACTGTACACCTGGTCTTATGTAGTGGAAGGGTACTGCTCCGAGTAACTGCTGTGTGCTGCTGCTTGTTTATCTCTCATTCACTATACACTAGTATGAATTGTAAAATGAATGATTGTATTTTGTTGGGTTATTCATAATTATTAATAATATTCTTTTAATGTCTTGTTCCACATATTTGATTGATGTGTCTCTACCATGTAAGAGTGTGAAATGCGGTAATGCTAACGTGTGATTAGCTAACAATTTTGTTTGGTTACATTTAGACCCCTTAATAGGGATAGCGCAAAAAAAGTGTTGCAACCAAAAGGTTAAATTACCTTACCTATTTATATTTTTGTTTATTTATCACCAGTGACTATTCTCGGGAATCTGGCTACTATGACCTGAGCCGAACTAAGTCATTCCGTGTAGAGCCAAAGAATCATCGAATCTTCCGTGCATCTGATCTCACTCAGGGAGAACTTCTTGGCAAAGGTTTCTTTGGACAGGTAAGGCAAACATGTTTTTATTAAGTTTAAAGCAAGGTTTGGTAATGATGGCTCTTTGATTCCAATTACAGTATATTATTGGACATCTTTTGCAATTCATAGGCAGGGTTCCTTCATGATCTGAGCTAGCAGGAATCTTGTTGACCTTCACCCTACTGTGATTAGAAATTTTGCAAATAATCGTGCCAAGTAGTTGAAAAGGGGAAGACAGTGGAGAGTTCTCACAATCCATCACCAAATTTGCTGTAATAATAAAGAGAAAAAATAAACCAGTCAACTCCCCCCCTGCAAAAGTTAATTAGGGTTACTAAGACAGCCAATTATTGTTATGCTAATAGTTAATGAACTACCTGACACCTGACCACTACTAGTTGCTAGAACTAGCTACAGTACACTAGTTGCTGGGTTTTCATTAAGATTTTGCCTCTGTGCCGGATGTCCATTATGTGTGTGTTTATTTCATGGTATGGCTTCGTTCTTTTTGTGTGTCTGACTGTGGGTTCTGGCTTCAGTTTTGTTTCAGGGTTAGCTTCCCTGGTGCTAATTGATCAAAGACTAAATTTCCCCAAAACTATCTTTTCTCAAAGGAGCCCCTTCTGGCTACTATCTCTGATAGTGTGCCATATGACTGGGTCTCATCAGTCACAGTTCTATAGGCCTACTGGGGACCTTCGCCTGAACCCGGCTCCCTTCCTCAAAGAGGCACAAGGAGCAGTGGCATTTATTTATTAAGTTTTTTTTAAATTTTGTTAAGTTATGCCACCTGTGGGAAAGGTACCCAGATAGCGAAACAAAATACAGTAAACCACCTCTGGCTACAAATGAGACCACAACTTTAAGAACTGCATAAACAACTCCCAAATCATGTTAACAAATGATCAAATTTTCATGAAACTAGCATAAGCTTGTTCAACCCACCTTTCCCACTCATTTAGGGGAAGGAGGGAAGCAGGCTGCAATCAGCCAGCTGCGCCATCATTGGTTCTATTCTGATGATAGTGTGCATTGGGCTGCTTTTATGTCACTCTGACTCCAGTGTTGGCTTTCAGCTAAGTGGTGTTTTTTGCCTTTGTGGCTGTTCCTGTACACTTTGGTACAGTGTGAGCAAGGGGTTGTAATGGTTGTAAAGGTTTTAATATAAAGAACCTGGGAATTATGATGTCTGACAACCTGACATTTAGTAAACACAACCAAACAATCGTAACGGCACCAGGAAAATGATAGGATGAATTATGAGAACATTCGAATCCCCCACAGCAATACTAACACTATTTAAATCAATGGTGCTATCTTGTCTTGAGTACTCACTCAAGTACTCAATAGCTCAGTACTCACTTTCCCTTTCGGAGCAGGAGAGATCTCTGAAATAGAAGGAATACAGAGAACATATACAGCACGCATTGAAACGATAAAACATCTAAACTATTGGGACCATCTCAAAGCTCTTAAGATGTACTCTCTGGAAAGGAGATGAAAAGGGTATCAAATAATATACAGTGAGGCCTCGACTTACGATGGTAATCCGTTCCCAAAGATGGATCGTAAGTCAAGCGATTTTTCCCATAAGAAATAAAGGGAATTGAATTAATCCGTTCCCCACCCTCCAAAATATTAACTTACAAATACATTTTATGCTGAATACAATGTTTTTTTCTAACTACAATACAGTACATGTTTATCTTACCTTTATGGAGGACTCATGATGCGTATGGAAGATGGTGAGCAGGGGGAGGAGGAGAGGTGTTACTGTTTGGATGGGGAGTCCCCTTCCATTATAACATCAGGCAGTGATGACTTCTCTGGGGTACACTCTCTCTTATGTTTTGCCTGCATACCACTAGGATCTGGTTGTGATTCACTGCTTGTTTATCTCACTAAAAACCTTTCCAGAGATTTTTGTTTTTCCATATGTTTAAATTTTTGTCTGTAATGAGGCATCACAGTATCATTAAAAAGGTTAAGGCAACTGCCTACTGCACTGTGATTTAGGTGAGTCGTTTCAGCAAAAGTTTGCAATTCTTCCCATGCTGCATCACTCGTTCCAGGGGTTTTCTTTAAGAGGTCTTCATGCAATTTCCTTGCTTTTTCACAAATGATGGCCTCTGAAACTCTATCACCCACTAACTCCTTGCTGTGTATCCAAATTAATAATAACTGTTCAACTTCCTCAAGTCTTTGTGTTCTATGTTTCGTGTTTATTGATACACCTTTTGCCACTTTAGCACTCATAATGTCCTTTTTCTTAGCCAGTATGGTGGATATCGTTGACTGAGATTTGTTGTACTGCCTAGCTAGTTCAACAACCCGCACACCATCATATTTACGAATGATCTCTTGTCTTTGCTCTATGGTCATCCTTATATGGGTTTTCATATGTTGAACCTTACCACTGACTTTCTTGGGACCCATGGCATGATATATAATAATTACTTTTATGTTCAAAAAGCAAAAAATCACCACAAAAACAGAATTTCTTATAGGCGTGATCATCACTAAGCGGGCAGCTGTAGTAAACCGAGGTAGGTCGGCCTGCGTGACCGGGAACTGTGCGCTGGGTCGACCCGAACCTGTACCAACAAATATTGTTAGTCGACGACATCATTGTATGTCGAGTTGCATTTTTCGATCAAATTTACATGGTAACTCAAAATTATCGTAAGTCGGGGCAATCGTAAGTCGAGGTGCCACTGTATATACATGGAAGATACCTGTACTGGAGGGGCCAGGTCCCAAATTTGCTCAGGAGAATAACAACATATTGGAGCAAAAGGTATGGAAGGAAATGCAGAATAGAACCAGTGAGGAGTAGAGGTGCCATAGGCATAATCAGAGAACACACGCTGAAGATCAGGAGTCTACGGCTGTTCAACACCCTCCCAGCAAGCACTAGAAATATTGCCGGAACGATGCATGTGGATGAATTCAAGAGGCACTTGGACAGGTTCTTGCAAGAAGTGCCAAACCAACCAGGCTGTAGTGGATATGCAGGCACATATCCACTACAGCCTGGTTGGCTGCCCGCTCCAAGCAACAGCCTCTTAGACCAAGTTATCAGATATCACAAGTCAAGCTTGGCCCCAGGCTGGGCTTGGGAAGTAGAAGAACTCTCGAAACCCTCTCCAGGCATGCTCCAGGGTTAAGAACACTTAAAGCAACATGTACTCAGGGTTCTCTTCTCTCCCAAGCAGCACAAAGGAGATGGCCTATGTCTGCTCTTTTGTATTATAGTGAGCTGCTGGTTTGATTAGAGAGTGAGCAAACTGTCCACTGCCTTTCCTTCCCCAAATACATAGCAATACTATCCGCGAAGTTACTCGTCACATCGAGATAAAGGTTGATGGAAGACTGGCATTCTTATCAGTTCCTTAAGGGGATCCTGGCTGCTGGCTTGAGAAGTGACCATTCAGAAAAGAGCATTTTATATACAGTAATTGAATGTCATATTTATTTACTTTTAGATTGATATTATTTGCAGGCATAGTATGGTTTTATTTGTACTGAGATCTGTAATTTGATACAATATATGTTTTTATAATGCAAACCTTCCAAACTTTTTTGTGTTATGCAACTGCTAAATCATGTTCATTAACTATTTCAAATAAAATATCTTCAGATATGAAGTAAAAGTAAGCTTAAGGTTTAGTTGAAACTTTTATTTGGTAGAATGCAAATGTAAATTATGACATGAGAAGACATACTTTTAAGTGCAATAGTTCAAATATAAGACGAAGTCAAGTAACTAGGGTAAGAAATGAAGGTGTACTAATTCAAGTTCTTGATAGATGGATCTGTCAAAGGTCTTGATAGATCTTTGTCAAAGATGTTTTCATGTGTAGCATTTACAGTTTGATGAGATGTCACCTACGTAATTTTTAAACATCTTAGAAAGTCAAAGATGATTCATTGATTATTATGTAATTCAGCATCATCTGAATACAATGAAAGAACATTAAGTTTTAATATAAAAGCAAGTGTTTTGTCAAGTAAATTGTGGGAAAAAATGGACATCTATATATCTTATTAATATTTTTCCAGGTTTACAAAATGACACACTCAGAAACAGGGGAGGTTATGGTGTTGAAGGAGCTGTACAGAGTAGATGAACAAGCCCAGAAAAATTTTCTTAAGGAGGTATGTGTCACTCTGGTTACTTTGTTAATTATAATTTTGTTATACATTTGCAGCAGATGCTTTTAGTTATTGTTAAATTATTTCTACCCATAGCAGGAATTTAATTCATGGTTCAGGGTACAGTGTATTACCTTCTTTATTACAGACAGCATCATGTTATGAACTTGTTAAACTATGGGCTAAATAAAGCTAGAAGCAGACATTGTTCTTTTAGTTGGCTGGAATGGCTCGGTTGATTCAAAGTGATACTGCGATCAGTAGCTCAAGTTTTTGTTGGGAATGGTGATGTGTTGCCATGTATATATTTTCTAAAATAATTGTGTCACAAACCTTTGTGCTTTTTAAAAATACCTGCTTTAAATCGGAAAATGTTAAGTTCTCAAGAGGGTTTCAAGAACCACCTTAGTGGAAGTTTTTTTTCAATCAACCCTGTGGCTGATAGTGCTTTGGAACTTTGTTGCCAATGTGACACTTGTGAGAAGGAGATAAGTAGCTATTTGTGTTATACTTGATTCTGATTCATGCATCTTTATCTAACTTGGGAATGAAGTCATGAAAAGGGATCATTCCATTCTTCCACTGAAGGCATAAGTCTTCTCTGTAAGCAATGTTTGGCATGTTCCCAAGGGGCTTTCCCTTGCCAAGTTCCAGGATGCAAAACAAGGCCTGAAAGTCTGGATGCCAAGGTGATAGTTCTAAGCAGTCACTAACATAACTCTGTCAGGAGTTCCAACAAAGAAGAGCAAACAATACCTGTGACATTTAAAAAAAAAAAATTACGAAATGGATGGTCATAGCCACTCTTCCAAGGTTTGATCTGTTGGGTACACCGAACAGTGGAATTAAAGTCCGCCCCAATACACACACACAAGGTGATGTAATAACCAAATGGACCCTTGTGAATGAAGTGGTATGAGCTTACCAAGCTAAGCCACTGTTGTGCACAGCTGCCAGAATTTGGACAATGAGTGTTATGTTAATCATCCTGGGCTAAACCAAATCTTCCCCGGTGGCTCCCTAGCACCTTAATGATCTGTAGGGACCACATGAAAAATTCCCTGTGGCACTAGTTCCAGAATGTCGTTATACCTTCTGTGCATGATCTGGCTATAGACTTGATGGATCTTAACAAAGGGAGCAGCCAGGTGGCGAAACTCAGGAAGTTGAAATAAGTTCAAAATGATGTACTTCCTTTAATTAAAATTAACTTTCTTTCCACACCAGAAAAAATACAGTACTGTATAGAGAAAATTTACATAATTTATTGTATATTAATAAGCTCCAGTTAGCTCTTTATTTTTTTAGGGTAAATAGTAACCTTTTATAAGGGAGGCTTCTAGTTATAAAAGTACTGTACAGTAATCCAAGAGCCAAGTGTAGATGTAATTTACTTAGAATTAGGAGATAGATTAAAACTTTTTAGACTAACAAGTTTATTATGAACTAAGTGTAAGTTTTATCATTTTCTCAGATATTGTTTTTGTATTTGCTGTATACTGTATAAAAATGTGAGTTATTTATTACTGTAATGTATTTATCGTTGTAATTTTTTCAGGTTGCAGTCCTAAGAAGTTTAAGTCACAAGAATGTCTTGAGATTTATAGGGGTATTATACAAGGACCGTAAACTTCACCTGCTCACTGAATATATTAGTGGAGGAACGTTAAAGGAAATTATCCATAACCTAGAAGAGACTTTACCTTGGGATCAACGAATTAGTTTTGCTAAAGACATAGCCTCAGGCATGGCATACCTACATAATTGTGATATTATTCATAGAGATCTTAACTCCAACAACTGCCTAGTCAGAGAAGTAAGACCTTGTATTAAGTTTGATATAATAATGAGAAATGCTTGTGAGATTGAAGTTTTGGAGAATTTGAGGCCTGGCTAGGAATGAAGATTTCCCTTCTTATTATATTTTTCTCCACCTCTGCATGTTTACTAATTGTGTTTCCTGGGGTTTTCCTCTGGGCATTTATATAATATTTGGATGTATTTTAATTTGTTTTCTTGGGTTTGTTGGATTAATCTGTGCATATACTTGTACTTTAGGCTTGTATTGAGCTCTCCTCAAGCTCAAACTACTGACCTTCCTTGGCTGCAGCCCAATAACAGTTACCTAGCTCCTTAGTATCTATTTACTGCTAGGTAAACACAGATATTAGGCAAGCAGAAATGGGCCCAACCAGTTCTGTCCCACCCAGGGATCGAACCCAAAATTCTCGATTGTATCACACTAAAAATTTAAACCATTGATATTCTGCTAAACACGTGTCTTTCAGCTAGGGTAAAGTCATGGGTCCCCTCAACTACTTTTTATTTTATAAGAGAAATAAAGCAGTGTGTTCAATAACTTTTTTGGGAAAATATCTATGGTATGAATTGAAAAAGATGTTTAATTATGAAATGGCACATTACTCAAGTCTTTATATAGATATTAACCAAAATACATGTATGTCATGAGTCAAAGGTAGTGTGAGTGTAAGAGTGATCACTTGGGCAAAATTGGTCAGCCAAATAGTTATATCCTGTCTATAAAGGAGTTTGATTAATATAAAAATGTGTGTCCTATTTTTCGTCACCCGTGTGACTGTAATATTTTTAAAGGTGTTGCAATATTGATCTACACTTTAATCCATGGCCAGGATACCTGGTGTTGGGAGTCATCTCCTGGGGTCCTTGGGATTATAAGTTAGGGGTCAACTCACATTCTGATGCTCTTTTACTATAGATGACTATAAAACACCTTTAAATGTATTCTATATTAAGCTGTTAAGCTTAGGAACATTGTATTCCATGTAAATCACTAAGATAAAATATTAATGTCAGAAAATATTAATTGTTTATGTTAAAAGTTCCCAATCCACAAACATCAGGTCATGCTTAAATCTTTCATAATAAGCTTTACAAACAAAATTTGGACTCGGTTTTCTTAAACCTAACATGCTTTTTTTTTTGTTTAATTTTGCATGTTGTTTATTATGTATCTTTTAGATTTATTCATGTTAAATTTATAGACAGTATTTTAAGGTTTTAATTTTGTGGGTTTTGTTTTATGGCATGCTTTTAGCATGGGACTATTGTCCAATGCAACACTTTACTTAACCTCATCCTTCTTTGTATTTATATTTGGTTGCTCAAGCTAACTTCTATAAACTTCACTTAGGCAATATTGCAGCACTTGAGGTATGTTTGAGGTTACTGGTGGCTGAAATGTTTTCCAGAAGTTGTCTGCATTACACTGCTTTACACAAGGCACAGTGTAATATAACTACTGTAAAAATAAGAAGCTTTGCAAATGTAACATTAGGCAACAATTTTTCAGTCATTTGTTGACTTTTCTAATTACGGTACTATATTCTGTGCCTCAGTACTTACATCCTGTGTATTTTTTCAGGATAAAAGGGTTGTTGTTGCAGACTTTGGTTTGGCAAGAATTATGCCACAAAACAATTGGACAGCTGAAAGGAAAAAATTTGGAAAAAAATATGCAAGAAAAAAGAGGTAAAATGCAAGATGCATGTATTTGGTTTCTCTTTTACTCTCATGCATATATCTACCCATTTTTTTTTTTTTTTAGTCATATAGGTGCAAATATCTCATTCATGCCTCAAAAAATTGGTTAGTTTCTGAGTCAAGGCCCATTGAATTTTCTAATGGCTAGAACTCTTATTTCCCACAAGGCTTTCACAACATGTGTGTAGGGACAAAAAACTGCCTATTCTTATGCCTGCTCACTTTAATACAAAGGAATAGATAGTTTCAAACACCCTGCAAGCAAAAATTAGAAATATCCAAGACTGAATTATAGCTTTGGAACCTGCAGGTCTGTAAGTGTATGAAAAGGATATACCAAAATTCCCTGGGTGACACCACTGTTAACACAAATGTTTGGAGGGGCCACCTACTCGCTTTTTGTCCTGGTATTCGACTGTCACACCTAGCAAACCTATCATGTTTGCTCTGCATTGCCGATTAAGTTTTCTTTTGTCTGGGTTCTCCTAGAAATTATATCAGTTCTGGGGATGTTCTAAATTTTGTAGTGTTCACACTGAGGTACACCAGTCTTGCATACTACTGCTGGTAGCTATCTAATGCAGCTATGTTTTAAAATTTTGTTCCTTGGCACTGTTTAACAATGACTGCAGGACCACTGATATACTTTCTGGGGTTGCTTTCAGCTTGATTCAGCCCCTGGAGCTATATCTTGAGTCTGGGCTTTCTTTACCCTAAGTCTTTGGCATTTAATATTGAAACAACCATACTCTTTTGGGTTTTGCTTATGAATATAGTGTGGCTTCTTTTTTATTTTTTTTATTTTTTTTAAGTCCAGTGCTGCCCTAGCCTAGTCTTTATTCTTATTGTAAGTGAGCTAAGTGATATATGCTGAGTGCGTTCCCTTTTCTACCAGGATCCTGCTTCAAGGCTCAATCTGGGTTTGGGGACTGACTCTTGTGTTCTCTATCAGGGCTGGTCATGATTACTATTTATTGCTCCTCAACAGGTGGTTGTGTGTTTGCTGCCTTGCCCTCTGACTTACTGTACTTAAGCTTGCCTAGTGATTAGTCTCTTTAATATTCTTTATATTTGATTGTATATTATGAGAAGATCTAAATCTTTATATTACAATTTTTTTATTGCTTATAGAGCTCAAAAAGTATGGCAGCCCAACTACACTTTTCTCTTGCATGGTTTGCTTTATGAGGCCTGTCTATGAACTATGCCTCATGCTTTTATACTCAATATTCTGTTTTTGGGGCTTGGTATACACTTTGAGTGTATACATGTGGGAGTGCTCAAAGTGCATACCAAGTGCAGTACATCTCAATACTGCTCTGCTTCTAATAATAGACCTCTTTGAGTATGCATGTGTAATGAAATTGTATGTATGTCTATGTTGATGGTGGCTTGCATTAGACTGCCTGTAATCTACCTTTCCTTGGTGCATGATCTTCTTGGGGTTATCTTGAGATGATTTCGGGGCTTTTAATGTCCCCGCGGCCCCGTCCTCGACCAGGCCTCCACCCCCAGGAAGCAGCCTGTGACAGCTGACTAACACCCAGGTACCTATTTTATTGCTAGGTAACAGGGGCATAGGGTGAAAGAAACTCTGCCCATTATTTCTCACCGGCACCTGGGATCGAACCCAGGACCACAGGATCACAAGTCCCGCATGCTGTCCGCTCGGTCGACCGGCTCCCCAAATAATAGTAACACTTGCAAAAATCCGTCACTATGAAAAGTGGTGAGAGTGTGGCAGGTAATACAAGTCTTGGTGAACAATATAGATGCTGGCTATGGCAGTATCTGAGGGTCATTCATGTTTCACTGTGCTCAAAATGCTATTTATTTGTGTCAGATAAGGCAGACTGGCTTATATCATCATCATCATCATAAGACATCATTATTAAACTATTGATTTAAGATTAGTGGCAGTGTAAAAATTTCTTTGTTTGTAATTTACAATAGATACACTGTTGTGGGCAACCCCTATTGGATGGCACCAGAGATGATGAAAGGAAACAAATATGACGAGAAGGTGGATATCTTCAGTTTTGGTATCATTTTATGTGAGGTAAGTTCATAGTTACAATTACTGTCTTTCTGGAAAATATTTTTCATGATATTAATATATTGTACATATTTTAGCTCAAAGAGTTGTAATGTAAATTTTTTTATTTGGAGACTTTTTAAATGAAAATTGAACTATCAGGTATCAAGTCTTATTCATCATTATTGTATTTAGCAGTGATTCATTTTAAAATGTTCAGAAAATAATTGTGACATATAGTTTACAAAGGATTACAAAGTATTCAAGCAACAGACTAGATTCAAACAGCTGGTTGTGTATGGAAAACTTATGGTGGTACACATTATACAAAGAGTGAATTTGAAGGGAAGCCTTTGTGTAATCTGCTTTAAAATACATACATGCTATTACTCTGTACATATATACATACATTATCCTTACCATGTTTCCTACTTAACAATGTTTTGGAATATGTATTTAATATAATAATTATTTAATCCTCATGTATATTCAAAGTTCCTTTTGGTATAACAGATTATTGGGCGAGTTGAAGCAGATCCTGATTACATGCCACGCTCCATGGATTTTGGTCTTAATGAAACAGTCTTTCATGCTAAATATTGCCAAGATTGTCCTGAACCGTTCTACAAGATTGCTTTCATGTGTTGCAATACCAATCCAGATGCCAGGTATTTTTGTTTACTGTTCTGTGGTACACAACTCAGGTTGTGCTGCAAATAGGTGCCATGTAAATAGCTCATATATGTGTTTCATGATAATCTGTTAAATGAATATTATCTTTGTTGACCAGACCACACACTAGAAGGTGAAGGGACGATGACGTTTCGGTCCATCCTGGACCATTCTCAAGTCGATCGACTTGAGAATGGTCCAGGACGGACCGAAACGTCGTTGTCCCTTCACCTTCTAGTGTGTGGTCTGGTCAACATACTTTAGCCATGTTATTGTGACTCATCGCCTGCAATATTATCTCTATCTTTTTATGTGACTTATGCACTTCATTTATCTAAAAATATCTTTACATCTTTTATGGTAACTTTCAATAAATCATGTAAAATAGTGAATTATTTTTTGTTATTTGTATAATATATCTGGTATATCTGGTTTTTCACTTGTAAAGCTTTTATATAATAAGGAAAATTTATTATATTAAAATCTTGGAAGATTTTATCTGAATAATATACATATACAGTATGTGGATAAATTTTATGATTGTTTATCCAATTACAGACCAGCATTTGAGATACTGGAAGTTTGGTTAGAGGGATTAGCAATGCATTTTGCTGTTGGTGTTCCTCTTCCTGCCAATCTTCTGGCTGACATATATACATTTAATGGTATGATCAAAATGGATTATATTCTTATTAATGAATTTTTGTTTACCTGAGTAATCATCTAACATTATTGAATTGAATTTCATTAAATTTAGGTTTTATGTATATAATTACAGTAAGTCTTTGCAAAAATAAATTGATCTTACTCTAAAGTTAGCCCTCAATATGCACATGTGTAAAGTAACCACCAGGTAAATCAAACTTGTTACATTGTAAACTTTCTTATTCAAATTACTGCATATTACAAGATGTCCAAATATGAGAGTTAGCCTGATAGTAAACTTTTCCTCATTTGTACAATTTTTCCTCCCCTCCCTCTTCCCCACACTCACTCTTTTTTTAGTGAAATATATGGTATAGATCGTATTTGCCAGAGCTAATTTTTATATATCTTTTTCCTCTACTGTTTTAGAAAGATTTACAAACACTGTAAGGCATATGCGGGCTTACCTTATGATAAATAAATCCATATTAAATTAAAAGTCACATTAAAATACTGTACTTAGTGGCATTTGTGACTCGGTGAGAAGACTAAAGATAAGCAAAGTTGGTATATGGCCTGTTTTTACCATATACAGTGGAACCTCGAATAGCAAATTTAATCCATTCCGGTACCGAGCTTGTAATGTGAAACGGTCGTCTTTCAAAACGAATTTCCCCATTTAAAATAATGGAAATCAAATTAATCCATTCTACCACCGTAAAACATGAATATGATATTCGATGTTTTAAATGATGGAGCAGCCTACCTTACATACACTGAATAAACCTTTATAACATTTTTCTTTCTTTAAATTTTTTTTTTTTTTTTTTTTTTTTTTTTTATAGCAAAAGGCTCGTTCAGTGTTTGTCAGGTCGGCTGCTCCATCTTTCTTAAAAAAAAAAAATTGAAAAATTTGAAAAACTGACAAAATTCCATAAAGGTTCGTTAAGTGTTTGTCGGGTAGGATGCTCCATAATGACAATCTTTCTTTGTTTCAAATGTGTTCAATTTGTTTTGTATTTTTCATTTATTTATTAATAATGGAGCAGCATACCTGACAAACACCGAACGAAGTCATTCCTTGTTTGGCTGCAATAGAACTATACCTAGTTCTTATAATAATGAGCAACTAAAAAGTAAACTCAAATTTCAGTTTAGATGTGAATCCTATTCATCGTATATTTCTTTTCCAGGCCGAAGTAATAGCAGTTCTTCCGAAGCATCTACACCCGAAGCTCCAACATCAGATTCAAGACACCCTCCACCTCTCTTACGCACTATAAGTGAAGGGACTTATTCCACCACTAATAGTCTAAACCGTGATTGTTCATCATCATGTGCCAGGAGAGATCATAGTAGTTTTGATACTCAAGATATGCTTCTTAATGATGCAAGTTGGAAGCTAAGGGAAAGCTTAGATTTAGGAAAACTAGATATTTTGAAGCCAAGTTGGAGTCCTGGTGAAAACCTGGATGAAACAGATTCTGTTACAAAAAATTCTAGTGCAAAGACTGAAGGAAATTTAGATAAAGATTCCATTCCAGATACACTGTCGTCTCTCTCTCGGCCACAGGCCAGCAGCTTGGTGGGGGATGTAGAGTGTACACCACTATGATTTTTTTCATTTTTTTTTAAGAGATTTGTTATGTTTGCAATAATGTACAGGAAAATTTGTTGCAAAAAAGTTAATAATTTTTTCTATGGAATTACATTGGAAGTATTTAACAAAAAATTGGTACAAAGTTGACTTATAGCATTCCCATGATAGTGATGTTAGTGGAGTAGAATTGTAATCCATAAGTGGTTATAATAATAATTATTTATCACTGATGCTGTTTCCCTGTTTGTTGAAAACCCCACAGCAGATGCTCATCCTTGGACAGGTGATGCCTCATATGGAAGACCCTCAAGTATAGAACCCATGAGGAAGGTATACCAAGAGATATCTGCCTCTCACTTGTTAAACTGCAAGGTAAAAAAAAAAAAAATCAAAGGTGAAAGTGACTTCTTCCCCCTTTAACAATGGTGAAAGAGACTTCCTGTCCTTTTATCAAATGTGAAAGTGACCTGTCCTTTTATCAAGTTCCTGTTAGTGTTTTCCTCCTCTGAACATAGCATAATAGGGGACAGCAATTTCATATGCTTTAATAACTAGAAAACATTTATATTTTCTTTGTGATATCTAAATAATTATTTTCCTTATTGTTAAAGTAAAATAATCATTTGACAGTGTGCCAACTCTTCTCCTTTAAAAACTTCTTCCTTTTCCTATTCTAAAATATAATGCAAGAAATTTAAAATCATAAAAAAATAATACTGACAATCAAATTTGGCAAATCGTTAAAAATGGTGTATTGAAATAGTGATTTTATTGTTAATTGTGCAGGTTACATTAGTATAATATGACAAACCATTATCAATACGCTTTCAGATACAAACATCGTAATTTTTTATATATTTTATAATTATCTGTATATTTATTTATTAATAATTTAGAGCTAGTATGATAAAAAGTAGCCAAGATATAATGTAATAACGAGAATGACAACATATGACTAGTCTTCAGTAATTTTATATTACTCTAATGAAAATTGGTTAGTTTACAGTAATGTTAAGATTGATGATGCATGCAAGTAGTGGGCATGGTATTGACCTTTGTTCAGATGGATTTGTGTGTCTGGGCTGGTTAGATGTGTGTAGAGCTTGCTCTAGTGAATGTGAGAGCCAATCATTAATGTATTAATTAATTCTAGAATTCACCTAAGTTCTGGTTTTGCATGTTGCATCATCTGATTACACGTAATCTGAAGAATATGATTATTTTAATTGTAATTTCAAATTGAAAATTGACATAAAATATTGTTAATCAAACAATGAGACATAAATAACAGAAGTTTTGCTCAAACAGAAGCAGTAGCTTGGAAATGTTAAGCAAACACTTGCTTATGTGAATATCCCACACCTGCCAGAAAATAAATGTATGCTGCATTTGAGGCCTTATTATTGTATTGTAGCAAGCTTAGTGTACCATAGTGAACAATACCTTGCCAACCATGTTAGGATCTTGAATAATAATTAACATTTTAAGCTGAATGTCAACCCTTATCCAGGACAGATTCAGATATGTAACGGTAAAATTTGTTATTGTTAATTTATCCGAATATCGTGTATCCTAATGTGTTAGGCTGTATAGTTAAAAGTGTGTTGATCTCATGATTAACTTTTAAGATTTTATCGGAATAAAAGCAAGCTTGTCTTTCCAGCCTCTTGGGATTGAACCTGGATCTTTGAAGCAGGCTTGTTTTTCCAGCTTTGTATGATTGAACCTGGAAGTAGGCTTCTCTTTCCAGTTTCTTTGGATTTAATCATACTTGTAAAGTATCTGAGCAGGCTTGTCTTTCCAGCTACTGGGGTTGTACTTGGGGTCTTTGAAGCAAGTTTATCTTTCTGGCTTTTCAGGGTTGATCCTGGGTTTCTGAAGCTGTAAACAAAGGGCTTTATTTGTAAACAAAGCACCTTGCTCAAAAATTTCCATGGAACTGCTTGTGTGTTTTAATGGAAAAATAATAGTAATATAATATAAGCATGCACGACTTATAATTCCTATAACTGGAGGCCATGCGTATGAGTGGGCATGGAATTAGGCAAGTACTGTACTCACTGACACCTTCCCATGTGTAAAATATTACCTAATATGTATTGGGATTTATTGTGGTAGCATTGAGATTGAAGAATTGGAGTGGAGGTTATGAATAATATACTGTGTTGTCTTGGTTTGTTGCAGTGATTGATGGTTGTAACTTTGACTCAAGTTGCTAGCTGTATAAGGCATGTTAGATTATAATTGTTGCACGTGACAGGGTTAAAAATAGTGCTGTGTTGTAGGTAATGGTTATGCTGCATGTTGTGGATCCAAGAGATTTCATTGCTTTTCGCAAAAGCGCATGCGATTTTTTACATAAGAAATTTGTATAGGGCTATAGCAGGCATCATTGATGATGGTAACTTCTGCTGTTAATGTTGAGGACATCAATAAATCTTGTGATTAATGGGTACTGCAAGTGCTTTGGTAGGGTGATTGTGGTGTCATGCTGGGACAGGTTCTATAGATGATACATTGCAACAAATGTTGCATTTGCTAGGGACAGTATTCTATTGTGAATATCACATTGTAATGTACAGGGTTGTAAGCTGCCATAGTATTTATGATAGTACTGGCTATATAATAAATGTAATCTATCTACAAATAATTTGTGCTGTTGTACAATATTTTTTGACGTGACATTTATTGGGAATTATGATGCTAAGCTTGACCTTGCTCTTATCAATGCAGAACTTATTACGGTCTACAAATTTAAACTCTGTCGAACTTAGTGAACTTGTAGTGATGTATACATTGCATTTTAATGCTTTGAACATTCTATTTAGTATTGCTGGAATATATATTTGAACTATTTGATATTTAACACTTTATTAATACCAAAATAATGCATCATTGAACCCATAATTAAAGAAGCTGTAAGACACCTGTTCCATAATTTCCAAAAATGGAATGAAATTTTATTTCATTTTGAGGGTCAACTTCAGGGTATGCGAAGATTCTTTGTGACAACTTAACTTAGAATCTTAAGACAATTCTCAAGACACAAGTTTCCTTAGTCTTAGGATAATTCTTAAAGACCTAAAACTTTAAAGAAAAGTCTTAAGCAAATTCTTAACAGACAAGTTACTCTCTTTTTTTTTTCTCATAATTTTTGTTGAGTGGAATTCGAGCATGTCAAAAGCATCGTCTGAGGCTGGGTTAGTGACGGCCAAGTAGCAGCTCTAAGTGAAGTATATGGAAAGATAGTTCCAATTGTGCTTAGCCCTGTGACACCCATGTCTTGTGGGTTGTGGTTTACCTGCATAATCATTGTACCGTAGCCAGCATTGCATGTAACCTATTTAACTTACAGAATGAATAGCTTCTATATACAATAAAAATTAAACTACAGAATTTAAATTAAGATAATACTGTACAGTATATGCATAATATATATATATAATAATTTTTCTGGGGAGCCCCTTGAGGCTCCCCTGAAGCCATCTTGCTGAAATGGCATCCAACTGCTAGCTCAGATCAGTCACAGAGTTGTGTTAGACTTACCAGGGGACCAAAGCCAGAACCTGCCCCCCCTCCCTTCACACAGGTGCACAGAGTGGGTGACACTGCTACTCAACCGGGAAAGCATCCAGAAAGTCCACGAACCAACATAGACCATTTGTCAGGTTCAAAGAGACTGCTGCCTTGAAATTACAATACTTCCTAAACAATGTAAACAAACTATCGAATCTCTCAAAACTAGTGCTAGCTCCATCAGTAATAACCCCTTGCCAATAGGGGGGCAGGCCCAAAGGTCCAGGTCTCCCCAACCTACCAAGCCAGTTCTGTCACTGACATGAAAACCAACAATTGTCCACTGTGGGGTTCCTGGGGTCACCGACAAGTCGCATGGGTCCTGCTGCTACTAAGCTAAGTGCCAACCATCCTAGGACTCTGTCCTGCAGAAGCCATTTGCTTGGTATTATTCTACATTTAGTTTAACGCAAACCAGACAGAAACATGCTCTTGAAGCTATGTGAACCTGGTTTGTAAGGCACTTAGAGCAGCATGTGCTCATGGCTACCTTCCCTGTGTGCTTCCTAATGCTGTTCCTCCAATGACAGTTCTCTTTTCTGGTGTGCTCAATAGCTTACATTTTCAAGGCTAGACCACCTTCGATGCATCAGGGGTCTTTGCCCCCCCCCCTTTCTCCCCCTTGAAGGGGGGGGCCTCTATCTAGACCCTTGGTTTGAGGCAAATATTTTGGCTGGTTGGAGTGCACTTAAAGCTCACTCGTATTTTACACTGCATGCCGAGGACAACCTTTGCAGCCCCATTAAAGAGGCTGTGTTGGTCTACTTATATAATTACGGGTGAGCATCCCCAGTGCCTCAGTGTCCTGTTTGGTCAGTCCTTCAGTCCTTGGTGATCCTTGTGGGTGTCAGTGTTGTTTATGGATATTGCCTCCCAACCAGCTCACACCTTATGTGAGTTGGAGGACTGTTCAGTGTTCATTGTCTGTGCAACGGGGCGATGATAATTCTTTCTGCCATTGCAATGCTGCCTGTTGGGCTGGTGACATCCACAACTCTGAGGTGTGGGTGTAACGAGCGCAACAGCAAATATGGGACCTGGCCCCTCCAGTATTTTTCATGTGTATATTATTTGATACCTCATTTGTCTCCTTTCTAGGGAGTACATTTTGAGGGCTTTGAGATGATCCTGATAGTTCAGGTGCTTTTTTGTCTATGCCGTATATGTTCTCTGTATTCCATAATGACAAAATTTTATTTAAAAAACTTATTCTTGTTACTTTTTCATTTTAAAAAACTCATATCCATGCTGCATACATAAACTGACAATAAAATTATATAAAAAAATCCTGTTGCTTTCATTTAAAAATACAAAACATAATTTTTTTTTTTCATTTTTATCTATTTCAATTGTTGACTAGCTGAAGAAAAATTAAGTTTGACAACCATTTCAAGAGTGGTGTGGATTCTAATGACTTTTAGAAGCAGTGTGTTATGGCTCTGCTCTATGTCTTCACTAGTAGAGCCATACCGAGATAACTTATCAGGATCTTTTCATTATGGCTCATGACCATGCCAATTGCTAAATACGGCTTTGAAGTGCTGATCTAATCTTTGTCTTTCTTTTAGCCAATGTCGTAATGTTAGTACCAGCTGGCTCCTCATATCTCGTGAATTAATTCCTTATTTTGTGTCCAAGCAGTGTACTGACATAATAGTCTCAAGGCTGAAGAATGTTTTAACACTTCTTGCATGTGCTGAGCGAGGCTATAGCACACTCTTCTCTTTCCACCCCCACCCCCCTAAGATTTGGTGCAGCTTCTGTCATTCATGCACACTTGAATGACGTGCGTTTTTTACCGTGTTTCGGGTATTTTTGACCAGTTACTCTTTTTGAGCCACTCAGTGATTGCCTGTTTGTTCCTGCTCTTTCCCAACAGGTGGGGATTGATGCAGCTGCATGCCCTTGCCTTTTCTGTCAGCTGCCCTTGTGGCAGATGATGTGCAGGCTCACTCATCCTTAACTATGGATGTGCATTTTCTTGCCCTCATTAAGCCCTTTTTTTTTTTTTGGCTCCATGAGAACATTTATTTGCATGGCTAGGAGTCTGGTGCAGGTGCCTAGTTGCCTGCCATGGCTCTCCTAGAAAACCAGCATTAGATATAATGAATTGCCTCTGTTTGGGTGGGTCCCAGTGGTTCCCTGATCTCTCCCTTCCAGGTTGTTGGCTGGGTGTTGTCTACACACCTACTCCAGAATTCCAGTGGAAGGCTGGAGGGAACTGAAAGCTCTGGATCTCCTGTCTTCCCAAACTGGTAGGGGTGGGTAGTGTTAACTGGCCCTTGCTTTTGTAGAGAGATTTGATTGTTTGTTTACATTGTTTAGGGAATTTATTTGGTGGTTTTGAGGCTTTGGTCGCTTTGGACCCAGCAGTGGTCTATATTGGTTCGTTAATTTTCTGGATGCACTTTGTGTGGTGGCAGAATGTCACCTACTCTCCGCACCGATGTGAAGGGGTCAGATTGTCTCTGGTCGTTGTAGACCAAACAAAACCCCCACAGCTGGTGTGACCCAGTACTAGTACAGGTAGTTGGGAGCCATCTCAGCAATATATCTTCAGGGAGCCACAGGGACTTTCCCAGAAAGAGGCATTTCATTACATTCAACACTTTTTTTTGGGGGGGGGGAGTTGTTGACATGTATTTATTCATGATTATAAAGATAACTTGCTTATATACCATTGCAACCACATTAAAAAAGTAAACACGTACGCAGATCATGGGGTAAATATGTAAAATCATAAATTAATGAATCTATTTGCCAATGTTTAACTCTCCACTACAGCCTATTTGTTAAATTTTCCATGAATAATAGTTCAAACTGTTGCATGTCAGTTAGTCATAATATATTTATGAATTGGAATAATTTCCTTGCCTTACTCAAGGCAGGTAATATTCCCATTATGACTCCTCGTGTTAATGTGTTGTGCTAAATGAAAAAAAAAAAGTTTAGCCAGTTTTCTGATTTCTGTATTATTGCTGAGAATTTTTTAAATATTATATATACAGTATTGTATATGAAACAATAGTAAAGTTCTAAGTGTCATGCTATCTAAATTTTTAATTTCACATTTGTTGACACATGTAAACTTTCATTTCAATTTCAAATTTTCAGTCATATTGAGCATCCTAGCAGCAGTTACCTCAATCCAGAACTACCTCTTGTTCAGTAAGTAGTAAGACATTTGCATGGATGTGTATACATATATATATATATATATACTGTTTTTGCAGCACCAGAAATCTTTCAGGCAGTAGAATTTAATATTTTATATGGTAAATAATGTACAGTATATATATATTTATCCTCATGATTTAAATATCTTGGACATATTTTTGTATTTCTGTATATTTGTTTTGATTAAAATTTATTTTTCAAAATACTGTACCTAAATTCTCTGAATCTATTAAAATCTATATGATAGAAATTATTGATTAAACTTTAAAATTAATGAAATTGGATCAAACGGGTTTAGCTTTTGAATTAAATGAATATCTGTATGATACACAAAGTGGGCAAATCATCATGAAACGTAACAGATCGTAGCATAGCTCTGCTTCCCATCTTCAACTACCTCCCTCTAAAATTTTTGGATTGATAAATTTAACAGTCAGATAATACAATAAAAAAGTATGACTGCCAAAAACAAACTTCTTGGGAGGGCTTTCTTTTTCTTGTATTTGCTGCCTTGTAAGTGTTACATGTGTAATATCACACCATGCCCTTGCAAGTCAGAATATAACCTAATGCAGACCAAAAACCAAAACCTGGTCCACTCACAGAGGCACAGGAAGCAGGGACACTTGATCACCCAAATGAAGAGAATAGACTGCCAAAAATGTAGGGCAAGTTGAAATTAAATGACTACAAGAAAATATTAGTAACACTGACAACAATAAACATGGTAGTTAGGTCATTACCCCTGCTAGTTACACACCACCACTACCAGGTGGCAGCTCCATTGAAATTGAAGACCACCAAATCAAAATACCAGTCATGTGCCTGGTGTGGACCCTTCCACAAGTGCTCTTCATGTGGCCACCTTCTTTCAGGTCCCAGTTTCTCCAAATAAGTGTTGGCCATCGTTTGGACTTTGTCCTGCATGGGCCTATGTTTGTATTTGTTAAATTTTCATATCTGCTTCATGAGTATATAGTTTTCAGCTTTCACAATTCACTAGCTGCATGTCTTAAAGGTTCACTTTCCTAAGCATTTGCTGACAGTGCCCCTGCCTTGCCAGTATTGCTTTCCTGGGGGGTTCGGGTGTCTGTTCTTTAGAGATCGTCTTCCTGTTGAGGGGTCTTTCACTTTCTCTGTGTGGGTGGTCGCCAAGTGGATTGCACTAAAAGAACAGGTTGTTGAAGTCAGTTCCATCTACAACTTAAGAAAATTATGATGAAAATATTAATGTTGAGAGAGATAATTTGTATGTCAGATGTAAAGGGAGGCGAGGCATAAAGAGCTAGTTTTCACTCCCCTTTTCGTCACCGATAGGTAAGCACTCCTCTGTGAAAATCGTGGGTAGGGGCAGACGGGTTTATTATTATTTTGAGGTGTGCGAGGGTTAGCACTGGACCTGCAGTGCGCGCTACCTATGCCTTCCTCAGCTGTCCCTAGCATTTGCGAGGGCAATCTTGCCATGGTTGCCTTCTGGGCTTCAGGACCTCATTTGGTATTGGCGTCTTGACCTCAACGTGGTTTACAGATGTCCCCTCCCCTTTCATGGGCTTGGTTTCCTGTTTGCAGTCCCCAGACTGTTTTTTGGCTGTCTGATTACCTTATTCTTAGGGTTGACTTACCTTTTCCTACCCTGCCCTGCACTAGAATATGTTTGTTTGACTTTGCTCTCATCCCTGGCTTCTTCCCTGTTCTACTTTGGTTTTGTTATATTCTGGTGTTGTTCTCCAATCAGCATTTTGGTGGCATGGTTGCCTTGACTTGGTGCTGGATTTTTGCACCCCATTCTGTGGTTAGAGCTGTGACAGCTTTGCTCTGGTTCTTGTCCTCTTTCCCTCCTTTGGGTGGTGGTGGTTCTCTTTGGCTCATATGGCTTGATGATGAGCTGTCCTCACCCATATTTGGATTTGGCTAGATTCCTTTCCCTTGCATCCACCTCTTCTTTTCCCCACTCCTGTTTTGTGTGGTGGCTGAATCAGCAGTATTTGTCTGCAGCTTCTCTGTTATGGTATGGTGCAGTTGGTTTTTGTCCTTGCTGCATTGGGAGGCAGTCTTCCGGAGATTTAGTCTCACCTTTTCCCTGGTTATGGTAGGTGCATCTGGTGGTGCCAGATTTTTTGTGGTTCGTCCCTTTATTTAACAATGCTCTGGGGTGAAGTCTAGCCCATTTCTCTGATTTATGGACTCACGATGCTTGACCCTTCCAGGTGGTGTTTTGGATCTGTGGTGTGGGCGGCTTTTGACCCTCCTCCCTTTTTGGTGTCAGCGGTCCTAGGCTTGTTGTCTCTCCTGCAGCTCTGTTCAATCATTTTGCGTTGGTTGGATGCTGCAGTTAACACCCACTGAGGTCAAATAGGTGTCCCATTCTTGTCCTTATTCTCATGTGGGTCCTTTATGATCCTAAAGTTTATTCCTAGCTTCTCAGGCTTGTTCCTTTATTATCTATCTGACTTTTCATGTGACCACCTTCCGTCTGGTCAACTTCTCTGGTTTGTTCTTTTCAACCTTAGGGTCTATAAGGTGTGGGCTCCATTGGCCCTTTGGCTGCTTCTAACTTGCTGATTCCTCTTCAGGCTTTTCAGGGTATGCTCCTCTGCACACATCCTGTTCCAGGTTCTTTGGCTCTGGGTTGGGATTTTGTGCTAAATTCTCCTCTGGCTTCTCCAGGTGGCTGATTGGTTCCTCTTCATTGGGAGTTCAGTGAGCTCATCACAAGGTTTGGCTGTGTGAGTACCTGTTCACACAGGTCCACACAGAGCCAGAGTCACCAAGGACTCTATTCTTTAAATGGGCCATGGGATGCTTTGAGTGATGCATTGTTTGTTGATCTGGTTTCTTTAGTGCAGTGTTAGAAGGCCAGTTTGCCTCAGATTGTAGCAGTCTTTATTTTTAGCAGGCCTGTGGTCTACTCTCAGGCTCGTGACGTCCATAGGTTAATGGTTTTGTCCCGAGTCTTCTCTCATGTCTCAGGCTCTTATTTTGCTGGCTGCTTTTCTTCACCCCCTAGCAAGGCCTGTTCTTATTTTGTTCTTTCTCTGTGGTTAAATGGCATCAGGGAGCAACCAATGGAGCCTGTATTGGTTGCAATGTTGAATGTAAAGAAATGCCTCTTTCTGGCAAGTCCCTCGGTGGCTCTCTGTTCCTGCCCTTCCCCTTTCAGGGGCTTTGGTTGCTTTGGGAGGTGTATGTCTGATGTGTTGACATTGGAGATCCTCAAGCTCCCAGGGCTGCCACATGGTTGCAGGTTGTGTAACTAACTAGCAGGGTTAATGACCTAACATTTTTTTTTTCAGTTTTATTTTGGCTCACCATATCTTTCTGGTGATCTCTTATCTTGGTTTGGGTGGTCAAGTATCCCTTGTTCTTTGCACCTCTCAGAGTGAGTCAGGTTTGGGCCTAAGGTCTGCTGTAGGTGATATTCTGACTCATAAGGGTCTGGTGTGACATGGTACATATAAAGCTTACCTTGCAGCAAGCACCAGGGGAGCTACCAAGGCCCCCATCAGAAAGGGGCATTGCATTACATTCAACAATGGATTTTTGTAATAGTTTATCATATGCATTATATTCACAAGAATACTTGGTTATTTCAGTAAATCATATTGTTGAATTCTAAAGAAGATAGCCACTTAATAATGCATTATTATTTAGGTGTAATGCAGAGAGTACACAAATTACAAAAAACAATATACTAGGAAACTTGTTAAGGAACTATTGTATGGATAAATTTAACTACACAAAAGAAGGCATGAAGTCATTAAGTTTTGTTTATCTATGACTTGGTAGATAAAACATTTTAAAATGTAATAATTTTTGTATCTGTCCTTTCTATCTGCTGTATGTTATGAAATACATGTGTGTATCTAGAGTGTTTAAGCCACAACTGCAACACTTGCTGTGTAATAGTGTGTGTCAAATCACTGTACAGTACTGTTATTGTGAAAAATTACTGATTTCATGCATTCTGGGGACTATGTTCATACTCATGTTTTAAGGAAGAGGGAGGAAGCGGAGGTTAAGGGAGCTGTATCTCCCGTAACCTACACACCTGTAATAAATGCTATGGAGGGTAGATCTTTAAGCTTAAGTTACATAACATTTGCCCTTATTTTATACCTTACTAAATTTCCTGAGCAAAATCATGCACAGTAATCTTCATTTATTCTGTATGTTGTGCTAAAGGATAGTGTTGAAACACTACACATCATGATGTTCCGTAAAACATCTTTAGGACTACAAGTATAAAAAAAATTCTTATAAGCTTTTTGTTATTTGGTAGAGTAAATTTATATAATATTTATTTGTCGACTTTGTTTCCAGCTCCCCCTAGAAGACTGCACTATGATGCTAGTCCTTCCATCATTGTTTAAGATTGTTACAACACTTTTTTTTCTTTTACTTCTGATAACCATGGCAATTTTAATCTTTAATATTCATTCATTTTAGTACAGTCTCGTAGTCTCATTAATTAATTAATTAATTAATTTTTTTTTTTTTTTTTAAGAATTTTCCTTTTCTCAGTATTTGGGCATATGTTTGCTTTTGAATATCCTTTAAAATTGGCTGATGCTATTTTCTGTAATTTTCTTGATTTATGGAGCATATTGAAGGCAAGGTTAGTGCAGATAATACTGATTTACACAGTAAAGTGTTTGCATTAATTAAACAAAAATCTTAAAAGTTTTATTGGCAAAGTTGCCCAAAACAGTTTTAAATATTTTATAAAAAAAATAGTAAATTTTAAAAATTGAATTTAAAGTACAGTACAGTACTGTATATACTATAAGTACTCTAATTTATGAACAATAGCAATGGTTATTTAATGTTTTTCCCTATAATCTACTAACACCAGGAGGTTTTAAGACTGAGCCTTTTAATCACTAGTTAATCTACAAAAATATTTTTGCAAAGCAGCGATGCAATGGTAGGATAAGATTATAACATTTTGTGTTATGCAGAAAATTGAATACTACTGTCAATCCAAAACAGAGATGGCTCGCCATTGAGTGCTTTTAGTTTTGTGAAGGTGGGAGACATTGCACTAAATATCAAATGAAGATATTCTCCAATGCTTGGACAGTATATACTGTATCATGCGCGTCGTGCTTGAGTCTGAGGGCATTACGTTCTTCTCTGGGCTCGATCTTTGTGCTGAATGTAGAGCTTTATTCCTCCATGATAGATGTGACCCGTATTGTCTTCAGCACTTTGTGAAACTCTGCTGCCAACCTCACTCAAATTTATATGTATAGGGTTTTAACCATTATCACTGTTTCTGACTTCACAAATTGTCTTTTACAATCTTTCAGCGTTTGAATACACTTTTTACCTGCATCAATCTCTCTCAGTCTTCACGATATATTTCCACATGTTATACCACATGTTCTAACAAGTATAAATTCTCTTTTGCAAAGTCTCGACATGTAAAAATCAAATTCTTCACACATCCTAATGTTTTAAAGCAACTATTCCTTAAACATTTCAGTATACATTCCCATTCTGTTATTTTCCTTGATGGCTCTAAATCTCCTACTGGCAAAGGGATATTTTTTGTTTTCTCAAGACATCATATATGAGTCACATTTCCTAGGAAACTGATATTCTTACCTCTGAATGATACTCAGTTTTATATGCTCTTAAAAAGTTTGTATTATTAAAACAAATATTTTTTATTGGTGTTGTAGACTACAATAACCTCATCTGGCTATTAAATCTTTTAACCCCGCTCAATGTTTTGGTTATGGAAATACAATATTATTTATGGATATCCTATATTTAGCAACAAGTGATGTTTTGCTTGGTACCTAGTAATGTTTGCATAAACTCCAATGAACTAATGATTTTCCAACCCATTCTCGCAAATTTAATAAGTCAATATTGACTTATTAAATATGTGCATAGGTGACATACTTAACATAATAGATACCCTTAAAAAGATTCATAGAAAACACCAACCTTACCTAACCTACTTAGTATGTTAAGATAAGCATCTTATTGCTTCGTAATTACAATTATTACCTAACCTATAATAGGTATAGGTTAAGTAATAATTGTAATTACGAAGCAATAAGATGCTTATCTTAAGATACTAACAAGGTTAGGTAAGGTTGGTGTTTTCTATGAATCTTTTTAAGGGTATCTATTATGTTTAGTATATCACCTATGCACGTAGTTAATAAGTCAATATTGACTACGAATTTGCGAGAACGGGTTGGATTTTCAGATTGTTCCATACTCTTGAATCATATTCCTTTCACAGATTACTGCCCAGTAATACATTCAGGCCTATTTACATGATGGAGAGAGAAATGTGTAGCTTAATCCAATAATACTCTGCCTTCACACAAAACAAAAATAGGACACTTAATTAGCTCACTTGCATATTGGCTATACTGTACTAGATTGACTCTTGGTCATTTAATTGGAAAAAAATCTGCATGGAAGAAAACCATATGAATTGGGTAACAAATATGGATGAAAGTGAGATGTACTTTGTCCAGGGTGAGTAAAAGAATACTGAATTTGTGTCAGCATATTGTGGGTGTAGCATAGGCCCACTGGATGTGTTAGATTACTAGTGTATGTATTTTTTGCTCAAATTGCTTTAATTTGTATAACTCGGTGGGGGTTTGCGTATGCAGTATACTCTGTAACATTTGTCTCTAAGGCATTCTCAGTATAATTTGTCTGTGCAGCCAAATTAATACAGTCAAGTCTGTAGCATTCTCAATACCATTTGTATCTCCAGCACAGTCAACAGTATTTGTCTACAGAATGGTCAATACCATTTACTTGCCTGCAGAATTGTCAATACTGTACTGTATAATGTAGGTAAAGGAATAACAAAATCTGTAAATTATTATTAAAAGGTGTATATTTCAATACTTAATGGCTTTTTATTAGTGTGTATATTTCCCACACATTGAAGCTGAATTGTGCTTGTAGAATTCCTCTCAGCCATTTAATTTACTGACCACAACTTCATTCTCAAGATCAAGATCTGAAGGCCCAACAGCAATGCCAGAAACTGTTACAGAAGTTCTAAGTTTTGCTTGGCTGTTGAATATAGGTATATTACATTCACTTGTGACATAGAAAAGTAAAAAAAAAATAATGGACCAGTTCATACGCCTCACGGAGTAAATGGACGAAAGGAGGACAGGAAACCTATGGTTTAACAGTGTAAGGAAGAAAAGGAAAGGAGAGAGAAAAAAGACATGGAATAAGTAAAGGGACATGGATACAGAAGTAAAAAGGGAGATATTTAAGCAAACAGAATCTGGACAGTACACCAGAATCTGGAGGGCAGCTTAGCTGCAATCTGAAAATGTCACTGCAGCAAAAAAGTCAACCTCTGCTCTATTCCATAACTATGTACAGAAAAAAAAACAGTACAAGTGTGATCATGTGATCAGACTGCAGGGACAGGGACGAACATACTTGGCAAATGACAAAGAAGTGTAAAGAACTCGACAAGAGGTTTCAAGAAGCCTACAAATCAAAACCAGATTGTGTCCAAGGAGAGGTGACAACAGACAACCAGAAACAACATTAAACAGAACTGAAGTTAATGTAGAGGAGGTAAGAAAAACAGCAGGAAGAACTGGATGTAGCAAAAGCATTAGGGCCAGACCAGATATCACAATCATTTCTGAAGAAAGCTACAGGGATATTGTTGTTACCCATTAACTATAGCGCTTAACATTACACTAGACAGCTACGGGATATCTCGAAAAAGGCAAATGTACTGTACTGTAGTTCTAATACAGTATTCTAGAAAGTAGACAGAAAAAGCACTAAAATATAGACCATAGTGATAGATAGTGAGCATGTGTCAATGTTTGCAGATGATGCACAGTTAATGAAGAGGGTAAGAATTGAAGAGGACTGTAGGGTCCTGCAAGAAAACCTTGGCAAACTATGGGAGTGATCGGATAAATGGCTAGTGAAATTCAAACCAAATAAGCATTAAGTAATGAAAATGGATAAGTGAGACAGGATACCTGTATTTAACTAAACTATGAGAGGAAGGCAATTACAAGAGATAATAAAGGAACAGACCTGGGAGTAGACATAATCTCAGCTACAGTGGTTCATGTGAACAGGAATGACATCAGCAGTATATGGGAAGTTATCAAACATAAGAACATCATTTAAGGATCTAAACAAGGAGGCTGTCAAGTCTATACACACTGCCTGTGTAAGACCATTACTTGAGTATGCAGCACCAACATGAAGTGCACACCTTGTGAAGCACAAATAGAAACTTAAGAAAATTCAGAGGCTTCCAACTATTAATACCAGAATTGAGAGGGCACTGCTTTGAGAACATATTGAGGGCACTCACTCTCACAACCTTAGAGAGAAGAAGAAACAGGGGGGGCGGGGGGATAAGAGCACTGAGGGGAATTGACAAAGTGGACAAAGGAAGCCTATTTTAATTAAAAAACAATAGGACAAGGGAACATCAATGAAAGCTGAACATGCAATTGAGACAGAGATGCAAGGACGTTTTCATTCCCTGTACAGGTGGTTGGCAAGTAGAATACCTTGTAGGAAGAGGTTGTTGAAGCCAATTCCATCTACAACTTTTAGAAAAAAATATGATGAAATTTTAATGTTAAGAGAGGTAATTAACATGCCAGGTATGAACTGCTAGGAGACAGGGCACAAAGAGCTAGATATTTCTTTTCCCATAGTCATTGATTGGTAAGTACAGTACATGAAATGAACGTGTGATATAACTGAGCTACTTTTGTAACTACAGTATACTGTACATTGGAGAAAAATGTCAGTTGTGGAAACAATACTGAAAGAACAGAAGCAAAATGCCAAAGGAAGCAGCTAGAGAGAGAATTTATGAGCAGTTGCTGACGAAGACTTCCATGGAGCTTGACGAATATATGTGGCATTTAGTGAGTGGTATATATATATATATATATAGGCATATGTGGTGTGTGATAACACACCTCATATGCCTGATAACCATCTCGAGGCAACTAAAGTAAAAGATTTGTCAAGTTTTGTTTTTAAATGTTGATGATATATTTATATCAAGCAAACACATTTTCTATAGGCTGAATGGTGGCTCCCTGAAGCTAGTTCACCAATATAGCTCCTCCCTAATGAGTCATGTCACATCAGCCATAGTAGTCCTGTATGGCCTACCTGGGACCAGAGCCAGAACCTGGCCACCCTAGCAGAGACAAGGGGATCAGAAGATTATGACCACCATCACAGAAAACATCCAGAATTAAGCAAAACAATACAGATACATGCAAAGCTCGGATAAAGTAAATCACTAAAGCCGCCAAATGTCTCTACAAACTATTCACTCAGAAACTAGGTCAAACCTCACTAGTTACTGCTGACCACAATTAGGTGGCAGCACCACTAGGAGCTACCTGCTTCCATATCATCTTAACCTTAGTATTGTCACTAATGTGCTGAAATTCGGACATACCCAAGTCGCCAGTTGTATCAAGTCCCACTTTTTAAGCCAAGTGTAGACCATCCTTTGAACACTGTCCTGTGGGGGCCATTTGTTTGTGCGTTGTTCCTGTCATTGGTATTTGTTTCACGAACATGTTTTTCAAGCCTCACTTGTTGCATGGACTTCCTTTGTTCTTTGCCTCAAGCTCTTGTGTGTTTAGGGCAGTCCTTACTTCATTGTTTATTTGGTATTGCCCTTGCCCTGACAGTGATTTCTCTGGTGGGTTTAAAAGTTTGCCTCTGCGAGGCCAGACTACTGTGTTGAATGCCTTGCCCTGGGTAGTGCAAGGGTCTTTGATTCTATTGCATGGCCCTGTGCTTGTGGGTGTTTGGGTTTTTTGCTTTGGGGTGCACTAGGCTTTACATGCTTGTCTATATGGCATATTACTGATGCCCTTTGCTGCCATGTTTATCATCAGGTCTGAGTTCAGCATCAGTTGTTTGTGCCTGTGTGTCCTGCTTGTATGGAGTGGTATTCTTCAGGCCGTGGTAAGCCCCACAGGTATTTCAAGTACAGTAGTTCATGATGGATCAACCTGCCAGTGCTGCACTCAATACTTGCGAGTTTGAAGAGTGCTTGTAGGCCTTGCATATGCCCGAGAGCTGGACATATGGGATTTACTTTGGGTATGCAACAATGATTTGGCAGCTTGGAATATATTAAAAACCACTCCAGTTACCATGACTCCTGACCGAAAAATTTAATTTATTGAAAGCCTACCATCCAGGAAGAGTAGGAAACCATACTGGTGCAGGAGCTAAGGCTGTTGACAGGGATGATACTGAAGTAGAAGTTAAGGAAGTTGTAAATTCTGATTAAGTATGCTCAAATAAAGATGACAGTAGACAGGAATGTGTAACAGTTGTATCAAGGCTCAAAGGTACAACACTGATGGCTCAATAGGTACAGACACTACAATAGATCTTGATAAACACAGACTAGAAAAACAGACATTTGCAAATTCTATGCAAAACACATTTGCACACAGATATTCAGGAGAGAGAAAGGCATTAGAATGCATCTACTCTCATCCCAAAAAATGTCTAAATATACTTAGGAAGGGAAAATGTCATTTTGGATCAACATGTAGGCATTTCCATCCAGACATGCAAAACCTCACTCAAGGAAAGAAAATGCTATGACCTCAGCTGCCCAGACTTTCACATGAAAAGCACAGAATGCTACACAAAGAGCGGCAAACAGGAAATTGACTGAAGGAAAATCTAATAATTTTTAGACCCAAAAGAAAGAGGTTTCAGGAGGTGGAACAGAGGGAATGTATAGTACTGGAACTGGTTGAGAGAACCATCTGCACACCAGAGAGACGGGTACAATTACACCTCACAAGAGCTACAACTACAACAGGCAACAATACTAACAACCAGTACTGGTCAGAATCGACTAGTGTACAGGTTCCTGAGCTGTATCATATCTACATTTGAAACTGTGTAAGAAGTCAGCTTCCACTACATCACTACCTAATGTATTCCATTTGTTAACTACTGACAATGAAAACGTTCTTTCTAACATTCCTGTGGTTCATTTGGGTACTAAATTTCCACCTGTGTTTCCTTGATCATGTACCACCTGTGTTAAATTATTTGAAATTATAAATTACTTCATCACTTTTACACTTGCTCAAGTTAAACTTCAGTAGCCAGATATAGATGTGATAGATTTACCTGATTTACCTGAGGGCTACTAAACTTAGTGGCATCAATGAGGATAGGAAGCCTGTGGCTAATTGCTTATTAAAAGGTCCCCCCCCCCCCCCCACCATTTGCCTTGATCTTTTTCAGGTAGATTTGAAAACCTAACACAGTTTTGCGGATTCGGATGCCGAATTTACGGATTTGGCATGTATTCACCTAGTTGAGCTTGTTGGGGTTGAGCTCTGGCTCTTTCGGCCCACCTCTCAACTGTCAATCAATCAATCCATTTTTTTTTTCCTCCCCACACGGTAGGCAGTTCCATGTGTTTATAACCCTGTGGATGAAAAAGCATCTCCTGTTCTCTGTCCTACAATGTGACTTGTTGAGCTTGAAACCGTTGCTCCTTGTTTGTGTTACATCTGACCTTTTGAAGAAATTGTCTGGCTCAACATCCTCCAACTTGTTCAGTATTTTAAGTTTCAATGAGATCCGCCCTGTCATACCTTCTTTACAGTGTTGTTAGCTCTGTGGCCATCAACCGTTCCTGATATGAGAGATAACTTGGCTTTGGAATTACTTTGTTGCCCGATGTTGCACTTTCTCCAGAACAGCTATGTCCTTCTGAAAATGAGGTCTCCATACAGTAATCCAAATGGGGGGTGCACCAGAGATTTATACAGTTGAATCACTACTTTCTTTTCCTTAAAGTCAGAGGTACACTTTATTATTCTAAGGGGTTTGGTTAGCTTGTTTAACCTAACTTGTTGTTACAGGTATTTAGTTTACCCTACCCTATACCTTTGTCTTTACCCTATATAGATATGATAGGGTAAATAGGTCACTTGGAGGAGTAGATTTGTATATAGAGAGGACCCTATATGCTCGGAGGTGGTACACATGAGGAGGTACAG